AGGTGGGAGGGAAGGAGGGGGTAAAGGGAGGGTGGGAACAAGGGGAAAAAATGAGAACCAAGACCTGGCATCTAAAGGTACAAGATCCCAGTAATGAATGTAACTGTACTGTCTACCTAGAATGTACCCATAAATTCAATTTAAATAAGAGTGACTAATGAGTTCATTGATGTTTCATCTACTCAAACATTCTGGAGTCATTTATTTGTAAGAGTTCCATGCCTTGAACAAATATAATTATCTGTTGTAGTGTGGAGAGAAGACAGTTTACGATAGATCATTTTTTTTCTTCAGGCCATCTCAGTTCTCTCACTTTCTTCTGGTTCCATGTGAGTGTGGATAGACCGTGTTTATAGTTAAAAGACAGACAGTGCCATGAAATTGAGAGGTGGTTCCATTGTCCTGTTACATTTATGAAGGAGCATCCCCAAACATCCTTTATTTCAGTTTTTATGACCATATTTTCAGAATAAAAGACATTTTCATATTTGGCAAGATTTAGCTCATTGAGAAAAAGCATTATTAGTTTTTAAATGATGAAACTAGCAAAACTAATATGCTGAAATTTAGTACTGCCAGACCAGTGCTTAACAGTGCAGTCTGTTCTCTTGTGCCCAGGTTAGTAACCCCAGTTTGCTTTTCTGTTTATTCTGAGAAATTTTAGTTGGCGATTGGAAAAGAGGTGAGAAGAAAGTGCCATTTCATGTTTTTGTTCCTACATAGGATGCTGCCTAACCAAGTTCAATTCCATATTCTGGTGACTTTATTATTACTCCAGGTGACTGAAAGAAAAGAAAATGATGGGCACCATTAAACCAGCTCAAAAATATATTGTTAATGGTAAAGATTTTTTGTCAAGTTGTCTTGGATTGTAGTTTTGTTGAGGGATGACAGTATAAATAGTTGAAGAATGTTGATGAAATTGAAACATTTGGTTATGGAATTGTGTGTGGGGTAAGAGGCTTACTGTTTGTGAAACATATGTATTAAAAATAAAGTTTCAGAAGCTAATAAAAAAGGAGGAGAAGGACAATAAACAAGCCAGTTTCTTCAAAGAAGGAAAATCTTCAACAAGTCACTTACAACCAGAATATAATGTACTATTAAGAAGATTATATATCATTACCAAGTCAACTTCCTTGATGTAAGAAGTATGCAACATATTTAATCAATAAATATAATTTACTACATAAAGAGAAGTAAGGATAAAAGCCACATGACTATCCCAATAGACTCAGAAAAAACCTTTAACAAAATTCAAAATCCATTCATGATATAAGCCCTGATTAAAATGGGTACTCAAGGACTTTACCTTAAACAAATAAAAGCCTGTTTTAAATAATGCTTGGCAGCATCATACTAAATAAGGAAAAACTGAAAGCATTCCCTCTAAAATCAGAAACAAAACAAATGTGTGTATTCTCACCATTTCTGTTTAATATAGTACTCAAAACTCTAGCCAAGGCAACAGTGAAACAAAAAAAGGGGGGGGAGAACTCAAAGAAGTAAAGCTATCCTCATTAATAGACGATATGATTATTTACATAGAAGATTCAAAAACCTGACCTGAAGACTCTTAGAACGACTTCAGCAAAGTGGAAGAAAACAAAATAAACACATAAAAATCAATATGGTTCCTGTGTGTCAAAAATTAATCCACTGAGGAAATCAAGAAAACAATTCCATTTACAATAATTTCAAAAAAATAAAGACCTAGTAATTAACCTAATGAAAGAAGCAAAAGACCTCTGTAATGAAAATTATGTTTCTCTGAAAAAAAGATTGAAGAGCACATTAGACAATGGAAAGACACCCCCTATTTTTGAATAGGCAGAAAAATGTCAAAATGGCCAAAAAATGATATAAAGATTTATTACAATCTTGTAATTATACTACAAAGCTGTACTACAAAAAACAGCATGGCACATAGCCAAAAAAGTAACATAAAAAAAAGAATAGAGTAGATAGAAACAACCCCAGTCACCTTTAGCCATCTGATTTTTGAAAAAGGTACCTATAACATATGCTGAAGTAAAGATTGCTGTTTAATAAATGATGCTGAAAAACACTTGTTGGCACACAGAAGAATGACTCTAGATTCACATCTCTCATTCTGTATTCAAATAAAGTCAAAATAAATCACAATTAGATATGAAGTATACTCATAGAAAAATGTAGAAAAATTCTTCTGGAAATAGTCATAGACAAGGTCTTCCTCAATACAACTATATTTGTACTAGATATAGTACTGTAAGTCAGCAAATGGAATTATATAAAATTTAAAACTTTCTGCATCACAAAGAACATAACCAACACAGTGATGAGACAACTATCAAATAGAAAAAGAGTTTGCTTTCCACTTCCCAAAGGACTAACATCTAGACTATATGAATAACTAAAATAAATAAATAAATAAATACAATATGAAATTTAAAAATGGGCAATTGACATGAATAGAAACTTTTCAGAAATACAAATGGCCAGCAAGTCCTAAAAAAATATTCTGCATCTTTGATATTAGAGAAATGTAAATTAAACACCAAGAGTCTATCTCAGCCCAAGAAGAATGGTCATTATCAAGGGCTCAAAAAACAGTAAGTGCTGGTGAGGTTTGGGGGTAAAAGGAACCCTTCTATATTGTTGGTGGGAATAGAAACTAGTAATATAGCTACTGTGGAAAGTGGTATGTATATTCCTTAAAAAAACTAAAGCTAGAAACTCAATTTGACCTGGCTAAATCTTTTGTAGCTAACTTTGTGAAAGAATTGAAGCCAGCTTATTAATGTAATACACATACCCATGTTTATAGCACCTGAAGTCACAATGACTTATTCATGTATGACTGTATGCCCATCAACATAAGAATGAATAAAGAAAATGTGGCCTGTATGCACAAAAATACATTCGAGTCTGTTGTAGGAAAATGGATGGATCTTGAAACCTTAATAGTACGTGAAATAGATCAGACACAGCTTAAATAACACTTGGTTTCTCTAATGTTAGATACCCAAAATATTAATGATTTAAAGGCCAAAATAAAAGGCAAGATTCAGGGAGGTAAAGTAGCATGGGGAGGGTAGGGAAGGTACATGTGGTATGTACTAATTCTCGAAGATGAATGTAATTATTATGTATAGCAAATATATACTAATAAAAAACACACATCACAGTATTGTTAACAATAGTCACTGTGCTGCGAACAGAACACAGAACTTGTACCTGTATCAAACCATAGTGTAGGACCAACCTCTTTCCATCTTTCCATCGCCCTACTCTCAGTCTCTGATAACCACCATTGTAGTCTCAACTTCTGTGGTATAATTTTAGACTTCACGTATGAGCGAGATCACACAGGACCCTGTGTTCCACATAAATCGATGTTATTGCAAATGAAAAAATGTCATCATTTTGGGGAAGCCAATCTGGCTTCTTAATATTCAGAAGGACAAGATTATTTTTGCCAGCCAGAATTCTCTTTAAAAAAGTAAACCACCTGTAATTCTAGCACTCTGGGCTGTTGAGACAGGAAGATTACAATTTTGAGCCCAGCTGGGCAATTTAGTGACTCAGTGAGATTTCCATTGTATATGCATATATTTATTATATTCGGTATGGACACAGATTAATTTCATACTGTAGTAATTCTTAAAAGTGCTGTCCTAATTGTGAGAGTGCAGATGTCCCTTCAACTACCTATTTCATCTATTTTTTGAAATACTCAAGAGTAGGACTAGAGAATCTCACAGTAGTGCTATTTTTAAGCTTTTGAGAAGCTCTATACTAATTACACTAGTTTATATTTCACGAGGAGTGTGTACTTCTCTTTTCTCTACATCTTTATGAAGGTTATTATCTTTGATTTTTTTTTTTTACATATTGACCGTTCTGACTAGAGTAAGATGGTATTTCACTGTGGTTTGTATGTGTATTTCCCTGATGATTAGCACTGTTGAGCATTTTTTAAAATGCAGATTGAAGCCAGGTGTGGTGACGCATACCTGCAATCCTAGCACTTGGGAGGCTGAGGCAGGAGGATCACTGTGAGTTCGAGACCACCCTGGGCTACATATACATTTGTATACTCATTTTGAATTCGGTTATTTATTTATTATTATTTGGGGGGCCATATTAAAAAAAAAAAAAAAAAAACCTTCTGCCAGATCACTGGAGACACTAGAAATGCTGCCTGTGGGCTAGGTCAAGACAGAATGTCCTGCAAAGGGGCTCAGGATGATGAGGAATCATGATGTCCTTCTCAAACTCACTTTTTCTAGTGTAGAAACCTTTTGCATCCAGAGGGTTTTCCAGACTCTGGTACCTGCTAACCTGGAGGGTTGCTGGGCTCATGGTTAAAAAAGATCCATGTCTCTTAGAGTTTGCTCCTAGTTTTTCTCTTCTCTGAGATCCAAGGGATCATCCCAGCCTGGGATGGCATTTTGACAACTGGCATATTATGTGAAGGGCATGAAACCAGCTACATCTCACTCAATGGTTTCATTGACGTCATACTCCTAAACTCACCATTTCAGGTTACTCTTTACAGTTTTTGCTAAAATGTCAAAAAGGGAGTGGCCTGTTGGACCCATTCAAAGGAGATTAAATGAACCCTTCTACAACCTGCTGGGAAAGATTGCAGGAGATTGAACCTAGGGCCTTTTTAATGAGCAACATTCACAGTCCTTTTAAATTTTTTTCTTTTGAGACAATGTCACTGAGTCACTAAGTTGCCAAGTTGTCTTCAAAATTGTAATCTTCCTGTCTCAACATCCCAGAGTGCTAGGATTACAGGTAATGTACTTTTTAAGGAGAATCCTGGCTGGCAAAAATAATTTCATCCTTCTGATTATTAGGAAGCCAGATTGGCTTAATCATATGGGAGAAGTTTTTTATGTGCCAATGAGACATAAAGACATTAGAAACTGATATGACAATATATTAATTTGTGTATTATTATTTTAAGCAATGAAATACAGAAAGTAGAAATCACCTTATTTACTAAGTTCACTGATATTCAGAAACTGAAGAAAAGAAAAAGAAGAAAAATTTTAAAAGTGTAATATTTGTTTTGGTCTCACGGAGGAAATATGGTTCTTTAGTTACATTCAAAATCTTTGTGTTGTCTGTCAAACCTCCACAAACTCTGATGTAAGCACAATTAGTCAAACATAAAAGGAAACTATGATTTAGATACAACAAATAATTTGTCCAAGAGCACTCATGAGGGGTGAATCTTTGATGCCAGGGCTTCTTCTTCAAATCCATCATGTGTTTTCTCATGAACAGCATGCAAACCCAAACTGTATCTTGTAAAACTTCCAGGCAATATTTGAAGAGGTTTGCATGGACTTTGCTTTTTAGACTTTACTCAGTTTTTTAAAATAGGTTTCACTCAGTTGCTCAAATGCTAAAACAACGTTGTCATCTTCATTCTCACATAATTCACGCAAGGAAACACTGTAAATAGAAAATATTATATATTATATGCATATATATTAACTTCTTAGTGACATTAATATAAGAAGAGTTTTCCCTAGGTATGAGGAAGAAACTAAATCTCATCAGATGATGAAATACTATCAGCAAAATATGAGGAATGGTGGTAAGAAACATTTATCCCCCCCAAGAAAAAGCTGCACAAAAAAAGAAATGAGGAAAGCCAATTGCCACACACTTTGTCACAACAGTATTTGAAATTCCATCAAATTCCATGTTTCTTGACTCCACCTCCCTTTCAATAGTGTAGCAAGAATAAAATTCCTTTTCCTCCTCTGTCCATCTCTTAATAAGTCATTTTGTGGTTTCTCCGGTGAGGTCTCCAGGACACACTGAAAAACAGTTACCCCTGTGAAGTAATAAATCATTCATTCTTTTACCTACCCTAGATGCATGAGTAATTTAAAAATCTTGGATGATATAATGAAAATAATCACCTTCTTGGGATGCCCTCATCCTAATCCTCATAGATTGATGGATTTGTTTATGAATGTTATAATTCATGAATTTGTTATACAAGTCAAAGAGGAATGACATCAAGGTTGCAGATGAAAATATAGGTTGTTAATATGATCCTGGATTATCTAGATAGTTGTAATGCAATCACAAAGGTGTGTGTAAGTGGAAGAGGGAGACAGGAGAGAGTTAATGTCACAGCAGTACAATATGAGATACTGCTAACAACTGCTAGATTTAAAAAGAGAAAGGAAATTCAAAGAATGCCAGAAATCTCAAAAAGTTGCCGAAGTCAACAAAACAGACTCTGCCCTAGAGCCTCCAGAAAGCAATGATGCACTGGTTACAGCCTAATTTTACTTAGTGAGACATTTTTCAGATTTTCCACCAGTGACCTGTAAGAAAATAAATTTGTATGTGCTATACCATTAATTTTGTTGTAATTTATTGCAGCAGCATTAAGAAACTGATAGGTAAAAGGAAAAAGAGGAAAAAAAATACGCAAATTACCTTTGCACCTGGGCTGATCAAGGACTGAAAACAATCAGGATCTGACATCTCATAAGCCTGTCATTGTTTGTACCTGCCTGCTTTCCACCGGAATTGCAGTTTGTTTGTTCATTTGTTTTGTGTGTTTTTTCAGGGTGATGTGATTTAGATTTAAATGTTCCCCAAAAGTATCATGCATTGAGAGGTGGGGCTTTATGGTAGGTGACCAGATCATGCAGGTGCTATGAGGTAGACTCTGGTCGGAGGGGTGGATCACAGGGGATGTGACCCGGAAGGGTGGATCCATGTTCCCTGCTCCTCTCTCTACTTCCTGACTCTCACAAGGTGAGCAGCTTTCCCTCATCCTGCCATTTGCCCTTCCACGGTGCTGTTTCTCCCTTGAGCCTGGCACCCATGAACTGAAACTCTAAAACCCTAAAAGCATAGGCCAAACTAAACCTCTCCTCCTTTAATTTGTGGTCTTGGTATTATGTTTCAGTGACAGGAAACTTGATTAATATATCTAGTATTGTACTGACCCACCACCAAGAATGATTAGATTTGGATCTCCAATAATGAATTTTTCCTCAGTTGCTGTTCTGTGGTTATGACTACTTGACATTTCTGCCTGAACGATGCCTCACAGGTATCCCATGACATACATAAATTCTAACTCACTAGTTTTGGTTCTTATCACCAAATATCATCATCACTCTATAGCTCTTATGTATCACTGACTAAAATAGAAACCTAAATAAACTTCAATGACTACATCAAATTTACTACCAATTTGTAAAATTCACCTTATAGTTCTTTAACTACTCTTCTGCATCATTAATTTTGTTTCCTTAATTCAGATCTTTCTCTTTCTCACCTGCATTACTGTTACAGCCTTTGACAGTCTTACACATCTCTGCCACATCCAGAAACCCTAGACCCATGCCACACTTATGCTTTTGCACTATATATACAATTCTCAAAATATCAACCCCGAACTTCATGAAGTGACAATGAAGGCCCTGTATAATACAGACCCAAATTCTCTTATTGTTTACAGGAATTCAGCATCTTCTTCCATCCTTATAACAACTCCCATATTCTATGTCACCACAAAGAGCTCAAAACCTATCCCTCATGAGTCCATTTTTTATTTCTGTGCTTTTTTGATAGTACTATTTTGTCTGCCCCATGCTCACAGACTTAGTCAAAAGCTTTACTTCATGTGAGAGCCTTTCTCTGAGTCCAAGTAGAGCTAGTCATTCCTTTTCTACCATCACACTCTTTACTATGCTTGCAATGTTCAAAGGATTCCTAGTTCTGTTTCCTTCACTAGACTGAAGTTTTTTAAGAGAGACCAATTTAATATGCTTTATACTCAGATGCTGAAAAGTGTGCCAAACAAGTACTACTTCAATGCTTGTCACATGAACGCATTAATCTTTCTAAGCCATGCTTTAGATAAAACTTGAAAGTTCTTACAATTTCTTGGGCTTCTCTGGACTTTATAACCTGAGTCACTCTGAGCCACTCAAAAAATACCATATCTAGAACTTTTTGCAATGGGCAAAGCTGTAATTTCTGCTCTAGCATGACAAAACATCCACTGTCTATATAAAATGTTCAAGCAGACCGTATTCATCTCAGATCGAAGAACTAAAAACCATGGCCTGATTAGCAAAAACACAACAGCAGAGGCATTTGTGACAAATTATATATGTACAAGTAAATGACCAAAGAAGGGAACCTCTGTAGATTAGTAAAGAACATGCAGATTAGAAGCCTTAAGAAGGTGATAATTTAACAAGGCAACTTTACATGCCCAAAGGATGGGAATGTCTGAATGAAGTTTGATATCATTTTGGTCTACACCGGGCTCTGATAAAGATAAGAACAGGTAGCCTATGAAAGACCAGGTTGAGATGAAGCCTGAAAAAATATATTACCCATTAAAAGCAAAAGATTCAAGAAGATGAAAGAGAATGTACTGAAGACATGATAGATCTCCGCATCTCATACCATGGATGTGACATTCTGTGTTCTAGATGAGAATATCGGGATGTGGGTTCAACGAAGCTTTGGAATATTTCTGCCTATTGGTGCATGGTGCCTGGGTATGAGATTCCAGTCTCCATGGAACTTAATCTCAAAGGAGCTTCACAATGAAACCCACTGCTGGGAGCATGCAGCAGTGCGTTACAGGGAAGTCTTGCAAACCCTCTTAGCACTAAGAGGCTCAAAGGCACCTTCATGTATCTTACTTACAAGAAAGATCTCAATACTCTTGATTCATAACTATATTATTTTAAAATATGAAGTCAATGTTTAAAAATATAACATACCTGATAGATTTAATAGTGAGTGCAAAATCTTTCAACAAATCATAAGCTGCCCCCATATGTATCCTAAACAACAAACAAAAAATTTAAAAGTTAATGGCACAAAACATTATTTACTAATGGAATAGTTACACTATTCACCATAATGTGTCTTATTTTAAAACCCAAAATGTTTCACATGTCTGAGGCATGTCAGAGTTTCAAACACATTTTAATTATGAGTATTCTAAATGCCATGTAAATATATATTAAATTCCTGTGTTAATGTGGCCCTTTAAACATTTATGTGCTTGACATCTGGGCCAATTTCTGGTAGACCAAAGAGGGTTTACTTGAGTTTAACTCCTGAAAAATAGGTTTTCTGTCAAAGAACTAAAGCAATTGTCATATAGTCATTCCTCGATGTACATATTACATTCTTCGCATAATTCCTACCAGAGAACACACAGCATTTTCATTCGTTATTAATGAATAAACCAATTAGCAAAAAACAAACTGTATCTGTAAGTATCTGAAAATATTTAAACCTGTAGGTTATATCTCTATGTGAAGTAATCTGCTCTAATTACCAATGTTTTGTTGGTAAGTTCCAAACAAAAATCATACAGAATTTGTCCTTGGCCTTGGCCATTAGCAAGAAAAAAGAAAGTATGATATATTTAGCACAATTATCATATATGTAAAACTGTAAAGAGAATTTTCCCATAAAGTTCATTAAATTCATGAGAATGAGAGAGAGAGAGAGAGAGAGAGAGAGAGAGAGGAGGGAGTAGAAGCGGGGAGGGAGAGAACGTACCTATTGTCCTGCATTAATCCTACCAAGGAACCATGTTTGTAGAAGTCCAGGGCATAAGCATTAAGTGGCATTCTTCTTCCCTGACTATCAAATCTTTTTGACCACAGTACAGGAGCTTGAGTATGGTTAATGCCAAGTGTGCGTAGAATGAACTAAAGAAATACAATTGTTAGTTAATGTTATTTCTGTATAGAAAAGTTTATGTTTCTTACACTGTACTTTTATTTTTTGTTCATTGAGTTTATCGGTACATTCAGTTATACAATATGAGGCCACTGGTCATGGGGAATTGTGCTTTCACATGACGTATCTGACATTTGTACTTTCACATGCCAGATCTTGGTTCTTCCCCATTCCCCTGCCCTCCCTTCAACCCTTCCACCCCTCCCTATTTACAGACTTTGTTTCTGTTTTTTTCCTTTTCTCATATTTTGCAAGGAAGTAAAACTAAACAATGACAACAAGAAAAAAAGAGAAAACAATTGGCCAATATTTCTAATGAACATAGATTAACAAATCACTGTTAAGATGTTTACAAACAGAACACAACAGAGCAAGAAAAGATCATGCATCATGATCAAGCCACCTTTCATACCAGGAATGCAATAAATGAAATAAATAAATGCAACACACAACATGTATAGAGAAAAGGATAAAAATCACAGGATCATCTCAATAGATGTGGAAAAAAATCCTTTGACAAACTCCAACATCTGTTCATGATAAAATTCTTGATAAAAATAGTTTAGAAGGACCTCATCTGAAACTTAAAAAAGACATATAACAAACCCACTACCGACATCGTACTAAGTGGGAAGAAACCCAAAGCATTTCTTGTAAAATCAAATAAGACAAGGGCATCCTCTCTTACTACTCATCTTCAGTATCATATTTGAAATGTTAACCAGACCAGCCAGGCAAGAGAAGAAAAAAGGAATGTGTATAGGAATAGAAAAAGCTGAACTGTCTTAATTGATGAGACCAAAAAAGTCACAGAAGATTAGAAAATTATCTAAGTGGCAGCATGCAAAATCAGCATTTGGTTTATCTTATTTGAGTAACCTAAAAATATAAATAAACTAAAGAGTAAAATAAAGAACATAGTAGGAAACAATGAGGTATCCTTTTAGAAATGGGAAAAGGGATCAGGCAAAGAAGGGGAAAAAGAGAAATTACATTGCTGAATAGTTAATATGTCTTCTCTTCAATGCAGTTAGTTACAGATCTCTTATGTCATGTTACTTATTTGCCCTCATCCACGTAAACTACAAGAAAAAAATATTCTAAAAATTTTCTAAATATATTCTCTTCAAGCTAATATGCATTTCTTTATAATTTGTACGCCAGAATTCAAAATTCATCAAAGCTATTCTGGTACAAAATGTTTCCCAGACAGAGGGAAAGCTGTAGAGAACTAGGTACAAACCCCATTTTTCACTTACATCACTTGAAACACCTGGTTGAAGCAAAGCACTATCAAAGTGCCCAGAGAGACAAGCAAATGGTGAAATTGCTACTCTTCCTCCTTTGCAGCTCATCAAGTGAGACACAAGTTGGGAATCTTCACATTCTTTACCTGTGAATTCTGACCGTAATAAATTGGGGTAGATTAGTTTTAAAATTCAGCCAAATTGTCAAACCTCACTTACTTGGTCTGCTGATGAACCTTTTAGAGTTTTCAACAATAATAAACACCCTGCTGTGGTACACACACTATGGTTTCACCACCACGCATCTCAACCACACTATGAGTGTAGCCATTCAAGGGGCCTCAGCACAGTGTGGACTGAGTTACCGAGTAGGCTGTATCACGGAATGGGAGTGGCCCAGTTTGGGACAGGTATATTCAATGAATGCTAGCTATTAACTTTAGTATCACTACTTCACTACTGCAAATATATGTGCTACATTTGATTGCTCTTATCAATAGGAATAGTTAAATTGCATATACATTTTTTAACCAAGAATAATTGTTGATTGCCACTTTGCCCCTGATCTCTGAGTCTGGCTTGAAATCTTTCTGGATATGGTGTCCTAAGTAGTGACTATTAGTAAGTTTGGAAAAGGCACATGATAAGACAGGTATTTTCCACTGGTGTGCTTTTAAAGCTCCACTCATACAGCCACACTGGTTTCTAGTAGCAGAGCCAGGGTTTGGATCCAGGAATCTATCCAGACTCTATTCTGATGGACCTTAAGCACAATTCCTCACAAGCAAAACAATGCCAGAATTAGACTTCAGTTTTTCCCAGTCTCACAGATGTTTTCACTCCATTATCTAGTGTTGAGTCAAAGAAAGGCTTTGATCAAGATGGTTTATAAATGATATATTAAGTTTCACTTCCCACGTTAACTCCCCAAAATCAGAAGTTTTTCTTTGAAAAGTTTTTCTTTGAAACCCTTTATGCAAAACTGAACTGACCCTTGTTGGACTCTAGGTAAGTACTGGGACCTGAACTCAAGGCCTCATGCATGGTAGGAAAGCTCTCTCTCACTGAACTTCATTACCAGGCCCGAGATAGTTTAGTCTTAGGAAAGATTATTTATTGTTAAATTGTTCCACAGTGGAACTGAAATACACTTACTGATTTCGGATAATGGGAGTTGATATTCCTGTTTCATATCAGCCAATTTGGACACAATTAGTAAAAAAGAGGCAAAGTCCTTTGTGACTTGCATGTTGTACTCATCTAAAGCTGCACTAAAATCCTCAGGGAGGTCATCGAGGAATACCTAAAGGAAAAACATTTTTCAGAGAAATTTACAGAGTTTGTTAAAATTGAATCTTTGGAAGAAGAAAGGCAAATAATTAGTATAATTTTATGGTTATCTGTTTATTCAATAAGCCCACTGTTTCTTCATAGTTGTAGCTGAAATGAAATTCATTTTTGTTTCTATTTGCACTTATAAAGTCAAATAATCTACTCTTTAACCTTAAAGGTTCACTTTGAAACTACTTAACCAAAATCTTTTTTTAAAAAATAGAAGCATACCCTCAAATGACATTAGACTGGTGAATTTCCACAAAATCAAGCGAGATATTTAGAGAGCAAGCAACAAGTCAAGGCACACTTGCACGCCTGGTGTAAAGCTCACTTGGTTGTAAGGGTTTTAAGTAACCCTAACCAGATGTTCTTTCAGCAAAGTGAGTTTTTGTATTTGACCAAGAGTGTAAAGGACTGCTCAGCTCCACTGAAGTAGAATGAACTATTATTGTTTTAGGGTTTTAATAAGCCTCAGTCTGTACCTACAACATTTCTGCCCTTAGTCCCAGCTTCCTTGATTCTGAGTATCAAGATGCTGTGTCTCAATTTTCTCAGATCCAAAATACTCCTGAGCAGTCTCCTCTTTTCTGGCGAATTTCATAATCTACATTTTCGTCTTCAATTCCAAAACAATTCTAAATATTTCTTAAGTAAAATACAAGTCTATGCATAAAGGTGGACCCAGATTCTTCCTTCTGGCAAGATTTTTGTTTAATAAGTGCCAAAATCCTTTGGATATTCTTTTCTCTCTTTTAAAGCCTTTTCATATAGCACCCCAAATTTTCATTCAGACCTATTACTCAGAAAATTTTTGGTGATGAAAACTCAAGTGTTTACAGTTTCTTAAGTATCTTATTTATAATTTCAGGACAGTATACTCACTAAGAAATGGATTAAGTATTTTTAGCCTCACTAGAGAGTATCAATGCATATGTTAAATCCAATATTCAAAGTATGTCCTAAACTGGCAAATTCTCTCAGACAAAAACTAAGTTTGAGAATCCTATCATACCTTGGAAAACTTCTCGGCACTATAAAATTTTAGCACAAACAATTATTTTTGTAGGTTTCTACTCAAAGCTATCTTTTATCATATTTATTTTATGATGACCTTCTTATTAAAATAGAAATGCTAGCTTTTCTTTTATGTTAGATGTTAATTTGAATAGAACAAATTACATATTTCAAGAATGCACATGTAGTGAGAAAGTATGAAGATAAGTCTTAGATGATGTTCTAAAGTTGTGATTTCTGGTCGAGAGGACATTTGTAATTCTACACTGTGGGGTTAAATGGTGTAGATGAACTCTTCTTATTTTGTTCTATGACAAGTTTTCACAAGATTATCTAATATAAACCAGCTTATTCCACTTTCTTAATATCTAGTGAGCTGAATCGGTAATGTTCTTTGATGTTGATTAAATGATGGGGGATCATTACCAAAGAAAATGCAAATAAAATTAGAAAAGAGTTTTCATGAGTTGCACCCCGTGATTCAGATATAATATTGTAGGCAGGCTACAACTGGTCCCCTAAAAAGGCACAAGATGATGAAGACTTCCTTGTGGATGAGATTTGGGGGAAGTGATGGATCCTCATAATGCTAACCTAATGCTAAGTTAGTTGATCTATTAGGATCATAATTTGATGGCATTATTTGGAGGTGTTCCGAATGGGGGGTAGGGCCTGGTTGAAGGGAGTGGAACACGGGGCCATCACCTTGTCACTTTGGGGACTCTTTTGGCCCCCAGCACTGCCTTCTCAGCACCCTCCCTCGCCTTCCCAGCTGTCACTAGGTGAGCAGCTTTCTTCCGCCATGCAATTCTACCATGAAGTTTCTAACTCACCACGGATCTCAGAGCCATGGATCCAGCTGGCCATGAATTGAAATCTCTGAAGTGAAATGCAAAAATAAATCCTTTCTTCTCTAAACTGCATTTTGAAGCATGTTGTCACAGTGATACAACCCTAACACAGATGATTTCCTGGACAACTATTTTACTATTATCTGGTGAAGGTATTATCATGTACGACATGTAGTTTTACCCCCAGGTAAAAATGAACTTAAGGGAAATGTAGTTTTGATAATGGAAATAAATGTTTTGCTTAAATGTACAATTAGCTACATCTTTCAGTAGTCTCTTAGTGCTTTAATTAGATATAACCAAATGAAAACATGGATAAGACTTTGATCCTAATTTTCCTCAAGGCATTTAACCTTTTCATAGGTTTACAGAAGAATTATAGATTGAATTACCCACTGATTATAAAAAGAACAAATTATTTAACAAAAATAATTACGCTATGTTCATCAAAATCATATATTTTACCTTTGATTGATAAAACTTCATATTATCATCATAAAATTTTGCTGGAATATACATTCTTCCAAAGAGATTTGCCAGTACTAGCACCAGCTTTTCCATAACATCTTGAGAAAAACACTTTGATCCTATACAAAAAAAAATGTCTTATTGAAAATGTGTTAAAAGTGTCTGTTCATTTGTTCATGTTTAAATTGAAATTTTCATTCCATTTCATTTCATCAAAACTAAGCATTGAGACAAAAATAGCAAGTACATTTTCTAACACATTTCAACTCTAATCGTTTGTATTGTTGTTTCTAATCTATGTCAGATCCTAGTCTCCCAACTACAAATTCCCTTTATCTCCTTACCAACATTTCCCTCACTTTATCTAAGCCTGCAATAGATTTCCTATGGAATTTAGGAGCATGTCTCCTCACACTGTCAAAAATCTCTAATGAGCCGGAGATTTAGCTCAGCGGTTCGGTGGCCTGCCTTGCAAGTGCAAGGACCCGAGTCCAATCCCTGGTACCGTTAAAAAAAAAATCTCTAATGACACCTAAATATATGATAAACAATATTTTCTATAGCTTAGGATTTAAGACTTTCTGAAATTCAGCCTACAAATAATCTCCCAATCTTATCTCCCTACCTTCCCTTCACACCACTCATACTGTGCTTGCCAATTTGAGTTGTTCTGTTCTACATAACACAGAAGCAGTAAACTGCAGGGTTTAAAAACTTGTGAAATGAATGTCGAGCTGTTAAAATATCCTGGGCTGTAGAGGTAGACTCATATTTGAATCTTGGTTCTGAATTTTTAAAAGTGTTAAGACCACGACAAATTATTTAATTTCTCTGTGCCTCAGTTTCCTCATTTATAAAATGATATTCAATATGTCATCTGTCCCTTAAAGTTATCAATTTTTCCTCATCCTTACAACCATATAACCACCAAATTCATATTAATAAACAAAACTTTCTTTCCTGTTTCCTGAAGTTACTTGTCCTAGGTACAGATCTTTCACAGGAATAAAATTTCCTAAGTAACTTTTTGTCACAGAACAATGCATTTTTAGAGTATAACAACTACATCTATTGTGCAGTGAAGTGTTCTCATCAATTAATAAAAGATAAGGTAATGTTGGCAAAGGTACTGAATTCACCAGGTATTAAGCAACATAGCAATTTCAAGCACAAGTACTACACAAGGCAAAATGTATTTTATGGACAATGTGTAAGGACTTTATTGCTTCAATACAAAAAATCAGCTTTCTATAAAAGTTGTGTGAAATGGAATTTACTTAACAATTTACATAATATGAGGAAATTACAATATGCTGAGGAAGAACGCAACTCTAGTTCATGCAGTTAATAAAATGCCAGCTATTTAAAAATACTATACAATTCAACAAAATATATGTGCAAGAAAATATTAATAGTGATTATCTGTGGATAATGCAGTAATGCTCTCCTCCTATATTTTTATTTTATAATGGGCCTTCTTATATTTCATTAGAAGAAAATATTTTCTACAAATCTTGTGTCATTCAATATGTTCTGAATTCCAGAAGCACAGCATCATGCAGGCTAATTCATTCAAGGAGCTGAGATTATACAATAGGTGTCAAAAATATAGCTATCTTCCACATAATCTATATAAGTGGGTATTTAACTCTATGTTGTCTAAAGCGAGGATCTGTAAATTAGTTACATACTAACATTACAGAAAAATAACTTGTGACATAGTAGCTTTCAATAGTCCTCTTGAGCTCACCTTTATTAGTTGGTTGGCAAAGATTATGGAAAAGGCCTCTTACAAGAAAACTGACAAAAACAAGATTAGAAGGTTCATGATAATGCAAATGTGAAACAAGTCCAGCGAACCCTGTGGGATTTCCTTCTCGATCTAGATAGCCCTAAAGAACCAAAATAATTCATTAGTTGGGCTTAATCACCACAAAACTAATAAGTAGCTTGTTAGCTGGCAGTTTAAAAGAGTATTTAATATAAAACAAATTGGCAGCTATTGCCTGGTATAACTTTGACAATTGTATCAATTATAGGTAGTATCAATATTGTACATAACTGTCTAATTTCTATAGTTAGTTCAGCACTGTGAGACAATAGCAAAGCTATTTCACGACATAAACAAAATGCAGTCATACCTGCTTCACCAAGAACTGTAAAGAAAATAAGAAGTAAAGTTTTAATATCTCCATGGCTCTTGGTTGTTTGAAGGACAGCAGTGAATGCTTTAGCACGGACAGCGCCTAGGAGAAGAGCACTTTATTCACACAATGTCAAGTTTGTGAAAAATTTTGTAAGAAACAGCATAAGTTAGATAGTGTTATACTAGACAGATATTAGCAATCTACAGGCCTTATCCATATGTCACAGTATTTGCTTTACTATGTTCCTACATGCACATTCTTCCTTTAACAAAACAGCACAGAATTGTCAGAAATGAAACATACTGTGAGGAATCTGCTAATAAAAGACCTTCCAGTTGAAGAATTTATAGCATTTTGTTTTACAAGAAAATAGATAGATGAAAGATAGAGAGATACATTATTCCACATTCTATGATATTATTGCACAAAAACTGGTACATGTATATTAAAACCACAGAACTCAGAACTAAAAATACCAGTTACTATCTAGTGTCAAAAAGCAGTGCATTTTAGGGCTGGGGATTTAGCTCAGTGGTTCCGCCACCTGCCTTGCAAGTGCAAGGACCTAAGTTCGATCCCCAGTAAAAAAAAAAAGCACTGCATTTCATGTGGCTTTCAAATTCTTACTAAAATGTCTATGAGATCTCAATAAAAGAAAAAGTTCCCAGTATCACCAAAATTTAAGCCTCTTTGCATTTAGGTTTGACAGTTTACAGATAGAAAGTATACTTTTCTAAAAGGCCAGTGGTCTAAGGAAAAGTGAGAGCAGAAGAGAGCTAAAAGAATACAGCTCCATCACTGTGAGGTGATTTTTTTTCAAGATCACCAGAAATGACCTTTTCTACGACCTCTTGTGCAACATTCTTCATGTTTTATTTAGTCAGAGAAGGCAACCATCAGAGAAAATCAGAATAAAAAGAGGGATGAGGAACTTATTGTGCTTCACTGTGACCTTAGAAGTAGAGTCCAAAATTAAATTCTAATTAACATGGTAAGAACCCTGAAACTGCTTACTGTAGTTTATGATGAGTAATAACATCCATCATGACCAGCTAAACTGGTAAAAGTAGAAGATGACCTTTTAGTTGAGAGAATGAAATGGAGATCAGTTAACATTTTGGCAAAGATCTCTTCATCCAGCCTCAGATTTGAAAAGATATTTTAATTAATGACACTCAGCTAGATAGAGTTCACCAGATATTTAACTGTTTGGCAAACCACCAGATTTGAATATTTTTCTTGAAAAAGAAAAAATTAAATAGAAGCAAATAACAAATACATAATTTAAGAATTCTTTTCCAGTTCAAGAAATACCTGAGAAAGTGAATGTATTTAACACTAACAAACTATACATTTGAAATGACTGATGTTATAAATTTTATGTCCCATGTAATTTTATCACCATAAAAATCTGAACATGTCCAGATTGAAAAGTCTCATCATGTGATAAATAAAATGTCAATTTTAAGAAAGACCTATAATAGAAAATGTTCTAGAAGATTTGAAACAGGAAAATGTCTGATTTAACTGACCACACTGATTAATACACAATGATAGAGAAGAACAGATATTACTATAGGATGAATATAGTTTGGCTTCCTAACCTTGTTTAGAAATGTATTCTCCTTTGTGAGGTATTAAGGGTGCAAACTTAATCTGAATCGAGTGTCTAGAGCCTTTGAGACATGATCAAAATTACGTAAATTTAACAGGGTAGAGACACCAAGATGGAACCCTGGTGGTTTTATAGTAGGAGAGGCCAGACAGAGAGACAATCTCATTCTCTTCCCTTGTGCTACTCGGACCTCCACAAGTTCTGACACTAAGACAGTTGTCACTAGATGCAGCCCCTGGACACTGCACTTTCAGAATCTGTGAATCTGTGCTATGCTGCAACAAGCAACAGGAAATGGACTCATATACGTCCTTTCAACAGCATGTCTTCACCAAAATGGAAATGAAATTATTCAATGATGAATGTTAAATCTTTTGTTGTGGGATTAGACCCAAAGTGTTTATGTGAACACAAACATCAAGAAAAGCTTAGAACCATTTTCTGAAGTCCAACTATGCACAACTTCATCTATGCTGAAAAATCAAATGGAAAAAAAAAATCCGAAAGCACAAGCATACCTTGGAAAAAAAATGACCAAACCAAAATAATAATGTGATTGTCTTTGGGTACTAGAGCTAGACATGCATACTCCTTTTCTTCTTTCAACTTTCTACATTTCTTGAATAGTCTTTAATGAACTAGATTACTTTTTATGAAAAAAACAACATTTGCTACAGAATCATAAAATTGTACTACTTTCCTTCTAAAGGGAAGAAACAGGAATCTAACCCAGGTCTTTTAATAGCCACACTCACCATTCTTCTCTACAGTAAGACCATGTCTACCACACAAGAAAACAATATCCGGGCCAGGGATTTAGCTCAGTGGTTCCTCCACCTGCCTCACAAGTGCAAGGACCCGAGCGAGTTCAATCCCTGGTACTAAAAACAAAACAAAACAAAAAACATCCTGGTGATTTCCAAAGCTCTTCAAACTAAAAATTTATGTTGCATACAGCAAACAAACAAAATCAACCATTATCCTCTTCTATTCCCCATAGTCATCTCTAGAAGACACTAAAACAGCATTAAATACCCTTGAAAGTGAAGGGTTGCTGATATAGATTCCTGGAAAAAAACAGCAGACCCAACTGCAGCCAGACCAGTGGCCAAAGTCAGGTGCAGGACACCAAGCACAGTACCTTTGCCTGGCCATCCTCTAGGTCATCCGCCTTGGAAGCGAGCAGCATGAGTCGCAGGATCAGCGTTATCTTGAGAGGGAACTGTCCTCTGAGCTCAGGAACTTTGGATTTTATGAGTTTTCCTACTTTGGGAATTGGAATATCAAAGAAATATACCTCTCCCAGCAGGTCTTGCCCTCGTCTTCCAGCACGGCCAGACATCTGAAACAGAATAGATTTGCAAGGTGAAATTCCTCTAATTAATTTTCCTATGATAGCATAAGAACTCAGCCTTGTCTCTTGTTTTCAAACAAGTGGACTATACATAGGTCCAAAGGTTACTTAACTGACATAAAATCCACCCATCTAAACCTTAGGAGATTTACCATGATTGAGTCAGAGTTGGAAGATGAGACACTTATCATTCTTATGTACTTATTTTATCTCATCAAAGTATTGCAACCTGATTTAACTTCACTTGCAGATGAACTCTGTTGTATCAGTTTTTCCCACCCCAGGTCCTCTCTCTGATTCCTTTCTCTTCTGCCCTTTCTCACATATAAAAGTGTTGAGCTATGAATCACAAAATAAATACTGTGCACAAATCATAGAAATACATGAGCAAGATGAAAGTCAGAAAGGCCACTTACAAAACAAGTTAAGCATAAATTCTTGACAGAGGTTATATTGCTTCTCATTAAGTACATGGAATGGGCTAGATTATCTTTACTGCTTTGTCATATAGCTCTCCCAATAATATATAAGATCTATAACATAATGTAGAAACTAGGGCATGGGGAAGACTGCAAAAAGAACTTCCCCATAGTGAAACAACTAGAAAGTGGAAGATCCAGGACTTGAGCTCTGAAAACTCAATCTCTAAGTCTGTCATCTCAAGTATTCTAACTTCCTGAATACAAACCCTAAGTATGAGATACCCAAAGATGAGATGCCTGGAATGTTTGTGTAGAATATAACAGCAGAAACAGAAATGAAAAGATGGAGGCTTGTAAATTAGTGGAAATGTATAAGAAGGTTCAACTGAGCAAGAACAATGTCTATAAGAAAATACGAAGTGTTTTAGGAAGGAAAGGGAAGGCCTTTGATAAAAACATAAATGTTGGGTGACATATCTAAATCTGCTCTTGCTTTCCGAAGTGTTAACCAAATATCTATGAGCAGTAAAAGTATATGAAGACCCTACTCCAGTGGGGGCAAAATGATAGCACATATTACTGTGTGTTTCTTTTTAGACAAAAGATGTTAATGTAGAGTTGTTTTTTCTACACCAAAACCTCAGTATTCCGGTTTAATTGTAGTGTTGGCACTTTGCAATAAATAAGTAGGTTTTGGGTTTCAGTTTGGCACTCGATCTCTAAGAGGTTCGCCATCCATGCACTGTGCTGTCTTCGGGACATAGTATAAGCAGAATCTAAAGTCAAGGAAATTGTTCCATTTAGCCAACACTGTATCATGAAAGACAGTAGATATGGAGATTTAAAGCAAAAATCCAATATCATTAAGGAGAGCAATGAAGCAGGCTTGATAACAGATTGTGTGTCACAATCAAAGAAGAAAAAGAGCAGTAAACCCAGTGTGCAAAATCTTGTGCACAGTAAAGGAACAGGTAAATATTTTCATCTTGGATATGTATTTTTCTTATACATCACTTCTTGTCATTCTTGTAAATGTCACGAGATCATAATTGTCACCGATGTTCTGGAGATGGATCAGGAAGATAAGGAGGTTTAGATATGAAAGATCACACACCTGATTAGCAGTAGTCACTGACTTCCAAACTCCTAGACTTCCCACTATACCATGCTGAAGATGGCATCCAGGCAGGAGTAAAGTCCAAGTGTGCCATTTAGTGAATTACAACATGTTTAAAAAAGGATGGTTTACATTTTTTTTACTATTTTATGACCACATTTTAGCAATTTATTAAGCAAGCATACACATATTTCAGTACCTGTCTGTAATTTAAAGCATCCAGATAGACTGAGTTTTGGACAAAAACCACAGATCTACAAGGCATGTTGATTCCTAAAGCAAGTGTGCCAGTAGCTGTCACCACCTACAGAGAGAATAAAAAAATACTGCATGCAGGCCTTTCAATAGAATGCAATTATTTCCTCCCACAAAATTACTGAAACCTCTTTGAACTTTAATTAAAAACAGTGTGAAAATTATCACTATTAGACACACTATTATTTTTTTCTGTTTCACAAAGAACGATGCACATTTTCAGATCAAGGCTGTTACAGCGCTAGTTGTGTGTGCAGAATACCCTTCCCCAAACACTCATTTGTGTGGCCCTTCCGTTGTTTGCTCAAATGTCACAGAGAAAATTTCGAGTAACCACATAGTAATCATCCTCTCCCATAATTATCCACTCCTCTGTTGTACACTATTCATTTTTGTAGGACTAATAACTATCTCAGTAATCCTATTTGTCTGTTTACTTGTCTTATATTGGACTCCAAGTATCACCTGCCACTGTAGCCCTACCTCCAAAAAGGGTACCTGGCACATTAGAAGTGTTAATATTTTTAAATAAATTACTAGAAAGAAAATTTACCTGAGGGTCATAATCCTGTTATAAACGTATTGTCAATTATTTACTTCCTCTACTAAAATTAATCGAGATATCCATAGAAATAACCTATCTATGTAATAAGAATAAAATAGCCCCATCTCAACTTCCACAATAACTGCCTATGAAGGGTATGGGGCACACAGGGCTGGGGATTTAGCTCAGTGGTTCGGTGGCCTGCCTCACAAGCACAAGGACCCAAGTTCGATCCCCAGTACCAAAAAAAAAAAAAAAAAAAGTATGGGCACACTGTAAATTTTACTTACATAACCCATATTCATGCTCACTTTTTAATCTCTTAGCAGTTTTTATTTTTGGTTATTTTCTTTTTATAACAACTGGCATCTATGCTCTGCGTAGTGTTAATGTTTAAGTATAAAAACCAATCGTTTAATAAATCTGTAACTGAGGTTATGCATCTGTCAAAATGTAATGATTTTAAATTTTTCTAAAGTGCTTTAATAAGAAAATGGACAAAGAAAGATATTTAATTTAGAAAATAATTTTTAAAATTCTTTTTTTTTCTTTTTTTCTTTTTTCTATTTTTTTGGTACTGGGGATCAAACTTGGGTCCACCGAACCTCTGAGCTAAATCCCTGGCCCTAAAATGTGTTATTTAAAAGAAAGAACTGGCTCTGTATACTTTCTCTAGCGGGATCTACTTAATTTTTCACTAAACTATCAGTAATTCAACAATTACAAATAAGTAGATCCTATTTTAAAAGTATGATACGCTGATCAAAATAAGTATACCTGCATTGACTATGTGAAATAGGAAGAAAAGGGCTAAATGTGTAGGGGAAGTGGGAAGTGTAGGGGGGGAGGAAATAAGGGAAAACAAAAAAATATGACAAAATTAAAAAATGGAAATAAAGTGTTTGTAAATAGGGAAGGGAGGAGGGGGTGAAGGGAGGGCAGGAATATGGGGAACAATGAGAACCAAGACCTGTCATGTAAAGGTACAAGATCCCAATGATGAATGTAACTGTACTGAATACCTAAAATGTACCAATAAACTCAATGAGAGAATAAAAAAGTATACCTGCTTTCCTTTAATTCAGAATGGAAATTTTGGCAATGGATTTTTTAAGAATATTTTATTAGGTAAATAAAAAACTCAGCAAGTTTATTAAAAATATAGTTAGCTCTTTAAGATAAAAAATTCCACTTTAATTATGCTGTCAGATTTTCTGCTACACGTAGTTTATGATGACTAAAAGATTATGCTCCATAGCATAGAAGAATTCATATATCATTTTGTCTCTCTCACTCTCTTTCTCTCACTATCTCCCGAATGCAACATATGTCAGACAAAATTTAATATAGATAACTTTTAAAAGACGGGGTCTGCTCTTAAATACCATTAAAGATTCAAATTCACTAGCAAGTTATCTATACATCTTTATGAATTACTGCAGACCATCCTCATGTTCCCTCACGGTACAAATTAAACACAATATAGCAAGTGTTTGCTTTGGAATTTATCTAAGTTACTCTGGCTCTTTTCTACTGCAGCCACAGGAAAGAGAACATTTAGGAATGACACCTCTTAAGTTTAACTTTGTGGTACACTTATAATCTCAGCACTGTGGGAGGCTGAGCCAGGAAGATCTGAAGTGGGAGCCAAGCCAAGGAAATTTAGTAACTTAGTGAGAAGCTATCTCAAAATGTAAAAATACTGGTAATATAGCTCACATACACAAAAAAGTTAACACATTTAAAAACTCTGCTAAAGTAAGCAGCAGTCTTGGAAAACACATATTCTTGCCTTTATTTCAGTTATTATATTAGACAAAGATCTGATCACAACTTTACTACAAATGTCCTCTAAACCCATGTAGTCAAAATCATATAAACAGCATGCGCAATTTTCTAAATATTATAAATGGTGTTGTGCCAATATCACCATAGGTGTTTTTCATCATAGAAATATTGGGGAAATCATCTGTTAAGGAAATATTCTTATTATCAGAAAACTAACTAAATGATAAACTTTAAATAGCCTCCAACAATTAAATAAAATGGAGAAATACTGTCACATTATGGGTTATAACAAACAAAAATGACAAAAGACATACATGAGAAACGAGTGATTATATTGTTACTTTTCAGGACCATTCAACTTCATATAGTCACTTTTTTTTTTAATGAAAAAGTCTACCTACCCTAATGAATCCTTTTCGAAAGAGAATTTCAACTAGCTGTTTTTCTTTGGCACCCATGGCGCTGTGATGATATCCAATACCACTCTCTGCCAAAGCTTTGAGTTCTTCACCTTTTCTTTGGTGTTTTACACGATCAAACACCATCTTCAGTAACTGAACAAAGCAAGAGATGTAAGGATTCTGACAATTTCTTATTTAACTTTAAATCACTCAAAAACATTTACATGAAAATTATTATCCAATAGGTACGAATTCCCCGTGATGAAAGTGATCATTATTTATATATATCTAAATTATACCAATAAAATTAATGTTAAATAAATAAAAATTTAAAATATAATTTGACCAAATGATGCAACTGTAGAAATAAACTTTACATTACTAAAAAATAAAAAATACCCCCCAAAAAAACAAAAAAATATTTGGGGCATAAATAGTAGCTACAAGACAAATTTTCTCAATTGTTTGAACAGACTGTCTCAAAGGGTTTCATTCCCACTTTGGGGGTAAAAAGTTCTGACAGAGCAGTAGAAAACACCCAGGAAAGACTGAGTTCAGGATTCATGTTTGCCCGGAAGAGAGTGGGTCAGTATGGGAGCCTTAGAAGGTTTCTCTAGAGATACAGTTTTCTGTGAAATAAACTTCTCTGTGCTATAAGGTCAAGGAATGCTTACTTCCCACTGCAGATTGGTTACAAATGGCCTTAAGATGCCCTGTTCTGTGGAGGAAGTCTGGTTGTGTCTAGACTAATTTGTTGGAAAGTAAACACTGCTTATGAGAATTAAGAAAAAAGGTTAAATATCCAAAAGCAAAAGACTGGTTGATGGTTCTTTCAGCTACATAGTCATTTGTCCAATGGAATACAAGGTGCCAATCAAATGATGATGAAAATACATGACTTTGAAAAATGAAGAGACTATGAAGTTTACAAAGATATGAAACAGAATGTGGATGTAGTGGTAGTACTAGATAAAAAATACAAGGTCCATCTTAAATGGCAATTATTCCTGGGTGATGACGTTGTTTTACAGACTTCTCTACTGTAAGCATGAATAATTTGAAGAATAAAATAGCTTCAACGATGAATGGGAAAAGATGTTTAGGAATTCCAGTATCTCACTGGTGGACTGTCTTATCTGTAATATAGAAAATCTCTGGTTTCAAGAAATTCTGCAAATATTTCTTAAAGTATTTTAGACCACATGGATCCAAATTTTCAAATGAGACATGTGACAAAGAAGTCTAGAATTCAGGGTAGGAAAATGCATATAATGGAAAAGGCAGACACTCTCAAAGGTGAATACTCCTTTTTAAATATACATTGAGGAGTCCTTGAGTGTTATGCGTAGCCAGATGGTCTCCTATGGCGTCCTATGAGGGGCTTTTTCTATTTCTAGAGATTGCATCCTGTACTTTCTGTTAATAGCTGTCTATAGTAAAAAAAAATCTATGGCTGATGAATGACATATCCTCCTGGAGATCTATTCCCCTCTAAACACTGACCTCAGCATCCATCACTTTTCGATCACTATATGTGCAGTCCTGAGGAATTTCCAGGTTCTTCTCTAAACTTTTCAGTAGACAATTATGTTCAGCTTCATGTATGAGGCTTTCATCCAATCTTCTCATTTTTTTCTTGCTTTTTTTATCGCTGTTTGTGAAAAATCATATTTTAAGAAATAAATCTACATATTCCACCACTATAGGAATCCTGGGACTCCTAAATCACTCTTATCAGTCAGACGTTCACTACTGTACACCCCTGTGCTCTCAAGATCCTGAACTGGCTGTTTGAACACTCAGCACTTTGTCCTCCAGAGCTTATATTTTTCCTGGGATAACGCCACCACGTACTGGGTCTTTTTCTGTGATATTTCTTCTCCTTGCAGGAGACTCTCAGCAACCACAGTTTTCCCCACATGAATTTCTTTCCCCTCACTAACATGATGATCACGTTCAGCCTTCGTGACACTCGGCTTAGACAGAAAAGTACCTATTCCAAGCTCTTCTCCTTACTTCTTCAAGTGGTTGCAACAGTTTGATTGTTAAGTTTGAGTTCGGCTGCTAAGGGCTCTGAGGAGCAGCAGTCTCAGCTTTACTCTTGGATCTTCCCACGGTGCTAACCTCCCCTCTTCTTTTAACAACACTAATCACTGATTCTTCCACCTTTTTAGCTTATTCCTTAACTATGCAAAAAAGGGAATCTGAATGTAGATAAACACACCTTTAGTTATCATTTGCTGTTCTCACTTCCAAGTATCACCCTAAAATCTAAGAGAATTGCCAGAACTAACAAGAGCCCCCCGGACCTGCCCAGGAAGTTACAACCTCTCTTGGAGGTGAGGAAAGAGGCCCATATCCAATGACTGATATGGGCCAGACAGATCAGCCCCTTTCACTCAGGTATGACAGTTCAGGGCCATGCAGATCCCCTAGGATGCTGACTCTGAGGATATTTCAACAGAACTGCACCCTTTCTTATCTTCCTCACCTTCCCCTTCCTGCTGCCATCACTTTATTTAGCTCCTCACAAACACAGCCCTTCCATAACTCACACAGATATCACCATCTCAGCCTGTGCTGCTAATACACCCCTCCACAATCCCAACTGGACTGTAGGATCATCACCTTGAATCGCCCAGTAGCCTTCAATGTAACAGTCTTTTATAAGTGCTCATCACATACCTTTCTCCAGTGTTTCAGTTTGTCTCTTAACTGCACACAACAGTCAATTTCAATTCTGAGAAGAGGAGCTCGCTTGGATTTGTCATACAGTGTTCTCCCCTTCACCTAGCACTGCCCTTCACTCAGGGAGAATCCATGACTATGCTACAAATAATGCACTTGTGCAGACCCACATGTTGTTAATGGGTTTTTAATCAAGGTAACAGAGGGTGAAGTAAAATACTGTACATGCTATATCCCTAGTGTTGTGGGCTTATACCTCTCATATTGTTTCCATCGTGGCTTGTCACCTTTCCTCCTAAGGAGGAAATAAGAAAACAGCCAGATGGAATGTAAGTGTTTAAGGACATAGACTTTATCTGCTAAACCAGGAAGTAGAAAAAAATTTTGCATGCGGATAATTTACAAACTTTAAATGTTTGCAAGAAGGCCTGTAAACTACATTGGAGAATCATGATCTTTGAGGCAAAAAGAAGGCCTTTGAAATCATCCAATAAAGACATGATGGACCTTTAACTAGGCAGCAAAAAAAAAAAATGAGGAAGAGGCCCCAGGGAGAGAATTACACATAGCAAGTAAGGAAGGCATGTCAAAATAGCCAAGTCCTACCAGGAAGAAAATTGGGTTTCAATCCAATCCCAAGGTCATTCCATGGAGCATGCTGAGGTGTTGTGTAGTGACCCAAGATAATCGTTCAGCTTTTGTGGGCTGACTGAGAGCAAGAGTTCACACACGGTCACGCATGCATTAGTTAGCATGATTATGTGAAGTTATACAATCTTCCTAGACTAACAGACTCTGAACCTGCCTCTCACTTTAAACGAGACCTGTCTACACCATTCTAAAATATGATCGGTTATGTTTATCCATTCTTGAGAGAGTTCAGATGGATTGTTAACTTTTGGGGATCTACTCTCAGGATTAGTAAAGCACACTTCTAAGTGTGTCTAGGTGGCACTCATGTGTGACTTGGGGACCATTTCTGGTTTTTTGTTCCTTCCACTCAAATTTTTCCTCTGCTCTGCTTCCCTGCTGCCTTGAATTAAGCAGCTTTACTCAACCACATGTTTTAACCACGATGTTCCCACTTTGAATATGAAGTCAATCCCCTGAAACAATTAGCCAAATGAAACCTCTTCTCTTTTTTGCTATAGGTATTCATATTGCCTTCCAACTACGGGAAAGATGACTAATACAATTCTCCCTTCAAAATTTGCAAATAACTGCAAACAATATCTAGAACTTCCTTGTAGAACACACTGAATGTATGTTTATTATGGGGGCAGTGAGGTATATTAAGTCTTTGCTGGCCAATTTCTTGGTGAAGTACTTACAATGTTTTTTGTTTCTCAATGGATTTCTTAACTTTTCGAAGTTTGCTAGCCATTTCATGAGCTTCTTTATCAGCTTTGGGGGGCCTTTTCTTCTCCTGCTTTCCCTCTAAGAAAGCGTGTACACTCTTAGCACATTCTTCTACATCTTTTATATTGAATCTGTAAACAAACAAAAGGAATGATTGCCTTGAAAGGAATATCATAAATAAATTTCAACTCATATTTCTATATATGGCCACTATTCTGATAAACCTGTTTTATTTCTTAAAAGTCCATCTTTATGAAGTTTACTCTGAAATTCATACTAGGTGTTCTGGATACACAGACACCTTATTCTCTAACCCTAAGGAATAACTTTCACTCGTTCCTGTCATTGCCCCTCAGACATAGCAATTAGAGCTCATGTGAATTCTTCTGGTAAGAGTAGTCAGGCGTTCATTCCACAGCTAGGAGAAGAACAGTGGATTTTCTCCATTTATATACAGAAGAAACAGCTATACCTCCCTCACACTAACCCTTCCTGAAAAAGGAGAGAAAAGTATTTTTTTTAATAAATGAAAAGTCTTTTTCTTTTTGTAGGAGGAAAAGAATGATAGGATCTCAACCCTAATCTTTGGTGACATGACCATGTCTTTCCAGAAACCAGATAAACCCCAGATGTTGTGGTCTTTACCATCCAGAAATGTCTCCAAGCTCTAGGCTTTATTCCTTTTAAAATGGAAGTACCTAGGAATATTCAGGTCCAATTTTCTCAGCACTTTAATACATAACACATGGGCCTAGTCCAGGTGGTAACCATTAAGACTTCTCAGATTAAATTAAGCAAAGGGCTACCAATCAAATTCTCCCCATTTGCGATGAGTAAAATGTTTTGAGAGGAAATAAAGCAAGCATTCCTTATATTTATTTCACATCAATTTTCCAGTGTCAGGAATCTAGGGCTTTTTACAAGAGCACTGAAAATTTTCATGGATTTTTCTTGCTTTTTTCCCCCACTATAAATTGTTGGCAAAATGCAGAGGCTATAAGGAGCTAATGGGCATTAATCATTGTATAGCTGTAGCATACATAGTGAATAATGGATTGGCTCTATATAATAAAGTTGAAATTGTGAGGCAAAGACCTTCTTTTAAAAAGCATTGACTTTGCTTGATATCAAAAGGAAATGTGTTTCGCTAGTGAAAAGTAAATGAATTGGGACACTGTTGAAATAAAGATTAAGAAAGTGATAGTGATGCCATATATCAAGAGATTTCATATAATAAAAATAAAGTATAGCAATAAACATTTATATTATATGCTTGTCATGTGCTGTGCTAGGTGGTTTAAATATCTTCACTCATGTGATACACCCAAATATCCTTTGAGGAATGTGCTATTATTATCCCTAAATAGCAAATGAAAACAAAAAGAGACATAAAGAGATAAAATCACTGCCCCAAACCCCACAGTCCCTATGTGGCAGTGTTCAGCATCCTAATCCATGTTCTTATCTGTAATAAGCAGTTGGTTCTCTTTCTACATGAATGCAAGTAACTGGGTTCTAAGTACATTTTACTTCACTAAATGGTGTTGTTCTCGTGATAGTTCATCATTTTAATAAATCAAGTACACTTGGAAATAATTTTAATTCAATTTCTCTAATAACCCATATCGGATGAATGTGATCTAGAGATCTGACTTGAAACTAATTTAAATTGCAAAAGACCAAAAATTTTGACAGTTTGTTTTATGCAGAACTCAAGATTTCTAAATCTTTGATAATGGCATGAATATTTTTCTTTTTCTTAAGTATTTGAATTATAAACAAGAGTTCAGAGCATGCCACCCACAACTTCCCCTTCCTGGCATATTAAATATCTTCAACTAAAAGCACGCAGAAAACTCAGGCACATGTATTGTATACCTAAAATATACCAATAAAGAAAGAAGGAAAAAACCCTAGCAGGTACAAGATCTTTTTCATAAAGATAGGAGAATAAAAGCCCACATGAAAAATGTTCCCCTTTTACCTGAAGGAGAAAAAAACATTCTTTGTTTCAAGGATGAGAAGATAAGGCCAGGGGAAATCTACACACATCTTTTCAAACTGAAATTTATATTCTTAGTTGTATCTCCAACAAATTAACCACCCTAGCCCTTTTGCTGTATCACATTTTCCCGAATTATGACTGTCCAACTCAATATTAAGTGTTCACCTATGTGTCCTTGGGTTTTCATTTCCTTATAAAGGCCCCTGTGCAGCATTTATTTTAATTGCATGCTTTTCTCTTGTTGCTCTTCCTAGTATAAATTCAATTTTCAGATCCATTAGAAAAATGCTGAGAGAATACAGGTAAAATCTTGCCTCTCCTATCTATGTATGAGTATACAAATAATGCACAGTTAATTTCTGATTTTCTTTCTTTCTTTTTTGGTAGTTAGACTTTTGGAAATATCCCAGGGGTACAGAATAGCTCTTGTTTCTGAAATCCTAGCTGTTCCTGAATATGAAGTGGATGAGCTACCTGAATACTTCATGGTCCAGAAGTATATTTTCCTTTTCTCAATAACAAAGATAAAATGAATAATATTGTAGCCATCCCCAAATTTCAAAATATAATTTTTCATTCACCTATCATGCTTATTTGAAATATATAACACTCATGAAAATGCATGCTATATCTGCTTTTATGTGAACATGTACCATTAAATTTTACCATATGAGCAAGATTCTTTGGCTTTATGTGAAGATTCATGGTTTGAGGATAGTTTGTAATTATGTAAAGTATTAAGACTATTCCCTTCTGATCTCAAACTCTATACACTGTCAAGGTTAATCCAGCATAAACCACACTATTCATTACATAAATTATACTTTGTGTTACTTTATTAAGATTGGGTTAATTGAACTACTCTAAGTTACTGTATACTGTAACATACAAAATTTAGTAAGATTTCAGTGCCTGCTGGTCACAGTTCTTATCACTATATATTAAAAATACTAAAATTTCCTGCCAATAAATCTTCTGGGATGTCACAAGACCATCTAATTTTTTTGAGAGATATTTGTAAGTATATGTGTGTGTGTGTGTGTGTGTGTGCGTGCATGTGTAATTTGTTTCACAAAAAGCTAGGTATATACTAAAATTAAAAAGATAAATAATAATAAATTAATATGATAATAATAGTAATAATAATAAGAGTTTGCAGTAAAAAGGAAGCAAAAAGTAGAGTACCAAAATGAAGAAGATAATCTATAATATCAAAACTAAATAAAATTTAAAACATTTGAACTAGAAAGGTATATATTGTAAACAAGACTTACACTGACTAACAAGTTAGTCCCCAAAATAACAATGAACATTATATTACAACACTAAGGTTTATATGCCTCATTCCACTGTAAAAAAAGTCTCATATAAAAACAAATTATGATAAATTTACAACAAAAGCAAATTATATAACTTACTTACATAAAAAATAGTGCAGGTAGCTTCCCCATTATCCTTAGCTTTTCAACAAGAAGTGGAAAGTTCTCCAACATATTTCCTGAACTGACTGCTGAATCAGGGCTAAGAATCCTCAGTACCAGTTTAGCCTGTAGCATTAAATAAAAACAAATTTATAATATAATTGCCTAGCAAACAAATAAATTGCTACTACTTTCTGAACTATTTTCATGCTGTCTAATCTAAGTGTCTGTGGTTCCTTAAAATACCACTGAGTATATATTTTCAAAAACATGCTAAAAGCAGCCAAAAAATATATGCAATTAAACGAGAAAACAAAAATGTATGCAATGTAACACATGATTTTTAAGACAACTGGAGTCAACTTAAGAGACGGACTATCAATTGATACTGTTCAAATTGATACTGGTTCTACTACGGCAAGAGGAAAGGGGAAAACGAATGTTTCAAGCCACGTACAAAAGTTACTCCCAAATACATTTGTAAAGCTGTTAAATGGAAACGCAATTACAAAAAATTGTGACGATCTAGATCTGGAAGTTCACCCAAATATCTCATGTGGTCAGAAGTGGGACTTCTGGAAACTGATTGGATTATAGGCTCCCTATGCTGACACGTGTCAGGAGGTGAAATCTGATTGGAAGAAGCAGGTCACAAGGGGTGGGACCTGGGAGGGTGCACAGTAAAAATATCTCCCTCTTTGCTGCTCCCTTCTCTGCTCTCTGACAGCCATGAGGTGTGCACTTCCCTCCCCAGTACCACTTTCCCTTAGATCCAGCTGCCATGTGTGGACTGAGACCTCTATAACTGGGAGCCAAAATAATTCTCTGCTCCTTTAAATTGCAGGCGTCTGGTATTTTGTCTCAGCAAGTAAGAAGCCCACTAAGACATTAATTACCTTATATTTCTAAATAGGAAGAGAGTAAATTAAAATACAATGGAAAAGTCACATGAGAAAACTTTTATGTCATTCTTTAAAAATCAAAAATTTCAATTTATGAAAATTAATAATACAAATATAAAAATCAGAACTGACTTAAAATGAATGTACTGGTGATTCCAGCATAAGTTTTTAATGAAGTTACCACAAGATGAAATAAAAATTATTTTTAAGGGCCAAGTGTTTAGCTCAGTGGCACCTTGCCTGCCTCACAAGCCCAAGGTCCTGAGTTCAATCCCTGGTACCAGGGAAAAAAAATATTTTTAAAAACTCCTAGAAAAGAAAAAAGAATAAAAATTCTTCATAGCTCCCGTTAGTCCAGTTTCCATGCTGATGATCCATCAGGATGTCACCCTACAAAAACGGACCCTCAGTTATGACATCTGTGAGGAACCAATAGCCTCTACTTCACGATTTAGGAGACATTGAAGATCAAAGAAAACCCATTTCTCACTCTTTTTATTCTATCTCAGAATCACTAAACTTCACATTCAATTTAAAATGCTAAAATGAAAATTGACGACTAATAAAATCCAAATTAGTATTACAGATTCAACTCAAGAAAACAATGAAGATAGTATAGTGCTTTGCCAAACCATGAGAAAATTACCTGCTCTATATGGCCATTTTTAATCCAATTTCTTAATTCTTCCTTTAAGCTCTCTTCATATTTTCTAGCATCCACCTTTTTAATGATTAATTTATTCTTGAAATGAATGAAGTTTTCTGGACACAGTTTCTGAAAAAAAGTACCATAAAATCCCTAAAAATCCAAAAATGTCTCAAATATATGTCTCATAAACAACTATTCAAACTCTTAAGGACAGAGCCTGCTGAACTTATTATTCTCTATTACTTCTAATACATAAAACTACAAAGATGCAGAAACTCTTCAAAGTAAAGGAAGAAGACCAACTAAGTTAGAGATAAAAGAGAAACCAATAGGGACAGAAAGAAAGCGCAAGTGTTAGCACAGAAAGAGGACAGTAGAAAACCAAGATGTAAGAGGAGACTAAAATACGATAGTGTCCCAGAAGTTAAAAGAAGAAACATTTTCAGGAATTAAAAAAAAAAATCATTTAATGCCTCTTAAGAAGAATGTTTGAGGGCTACCTTATTTTGAAGAGCCCACTAATAGCTTTGAAAGGTCAGAATAGCATTGTTACCATCTGCTAGCATAGCATTAATTCTATGAATATTATTTACCTGGGCCTGTGGCCAACTTTTCCAGGCCTGAAACATGGTGTCATAAAGCTGGATGCTTTCTCGAGGTGAAAGTGCAAGGTCAGAAGGGAATCCGTACCTTTCAATCTGTTTGAAATAAAATTAAACATCTTGATATTCATTTCACCTTACATCTTTTTTTTGTTGCCTCATAGCTACAAACATAAAAAATTCTACCCATGAGAGTATTTGAATTTTAATAAATTATTTTAGAAATCCAGAAGTTCATAAAAAAGCTTTGGTTTATTACCTAAGACCTTTTAATTAAGTTCACCTTCTAGGAACTACATTTATAGTGCAAGGTAGGGTGCAGGGAAACAAAGATTTGCGGATATTGTCAACAAGACGACAGCAACTCTGCTCTGAAACAATTCTACCCATGAGAGTATTTGAATTTTAATAAATTATTTTAGAAATCCAGAAGTTCATAAAAAAGCTTTGGTTTATTACCTAAGACCTTTTAATTAAGTTCACCTTCTAGGAACTACATTTATAGTGCAAGGTAGGGTGCAGGGAAACAAAGATTTGCGGATATTGTCAACAAGACGACAGCAACTCTGCTCTGAAACCGAATCTGAAATTGTTTCAGTTGTAAATAGGATTCTTTACTTTTATGTGTACCAAGCAAGGCTAAACAGGGCAAATCTTCTTTGCTTAAATTCCAAAATTGGAACTGGGTCAACCTTAAGACAAAGTCTCTCAAATGACCTTGAGGACTCTGTAACAAACACCTCCACATGTCAGGAATTTGGATCTATTCAATATATCTGCCAAAGTTTCTGTTTTTGAAAAATTTTAATGGAAAAAAAGTTCCTGTTCTCAAAAGGTTTTATTGAACATTTCTGCTGGTATCAAACACTACTGTTACAAATTGCCAGCGAAAACCTCTCATTGACCTGTTAATAAATATTTGCTACAGCCTGAATTATTGTGATCCTTTCAAATTCTCAGCTTAAAATGAAGCTCCCTGTGTGATGGTTTTGGGACCTGACAGCCTATGGAAGCTGTCAAGTCAGGAGAGAACTATTATAAATGGTATTAACATTTTTCATGACAGAAACCTCAGAGAACTACCTTAGCTTTTCTTCCATGTGAAAATACAGCCAGAGGGACCCATCTATGAACCAGAAGGTGGTTCCACCTCAGACCTTCCAATCTGCTAGAAGCTTGATCTTAAACTTGGCACCCTTCAGAAATGTGAAAAATAGACACTAGTTTCTAGAGGCGCCAGTCTATGTTGCTTTTGCCACAACAGCCTGCTGAATGGACTATGATAACATTTCCCTGTCCCCCAAGAGAGAAAAAATCCATATATTCTAGTAAATAAATAAGATGTATTAGAAAATTTAAATCACAAAAAGCAGCAGTATGAAGATCTCTCCAAAATAAGTAAACCATAGGTCATTTCATTATAAATAGCTGTTATAAGCTCACAAAACTCATTTTAAGAATTTTAATATAGCATCTTTACCATTTAGGATGGGGGCTTAGATTGAGTTAGGATAAGAGGAGTAGATAAGTGAAAGAATTGGAGAAGGTTTCAAATGGATACATATTGAGGATATACTCCTAAGTGAAATAAATAACTTACACATGTGTAAATACCGAACAGTTTCTCTGGTGTGAATAATCTGCAATAATACATAAGATCCCAATAAGATTACTGACATTGTGAAATGGGAAGAAAGGGGCTAAAGGTGTAGGGAAGGTGGGATGGATAGGGGAGGGTAATAAGGGAAAAGAAAAGAATGTGAGAGAATGAAAAGATGAAAATAAAGTGTTTGTAGATGGGGAGGAGAGGAGGGGGTGAAGGGAGGGCAGAGGTAAGGGGAAAACATGAGAATCAAGACCTGTCATGTAGAGGTACAAGATCCCAACAATGAATGTAACTGTACTGTATCCCTAAAATGTACCAATAAACTCAAAGCTGAAAAAAAAAAGAATTTTAAAATTCTTGGCAAAATGGACCTCTCCAAATATAAAACACAACAGAAAAACAAAACAAAATGAAGACATTCCATAGAACAGAAAGTACAAAAAAGTTTAAGTCAGATAATCACACTTAAATTTTAGATCTCAGTGCTAGTCCCAATATCTTTCATATAGAAATGGAAATATTTATACTTTCACCTTACACACTGTGGTAAGACCAAACAAAATTAAGAAATTATTTACATGCTTTTAAAGCTTTTGCATGAAATCATCGTTTAGCATCTCCCAATTTGAGTAATAAAAACTGGCAATCTGGGTCGAGACTGAACAAAAATTCTAAATGAACATAATATTTTTGGATTTCTAGCATTTTATTTAGTTATTTTATTACTGGAGAGTGGTCACTTATACTGCCTAACTAAATGAAATCTAAGAATCATCAGGAACTTTAAAATATGGACCTTTGGTTTGGTGACCAGAATATCCAATGGATTCTGAGGTTATTTTTCCCTTTTACCAAAGTCTGATTTCACTCCTTTCTAAACTGGAGGGTAATTCTACCTGGGATATCAATTTTTTGTGAGAATTAAATTAAGTAATACACATACCACCTAACAAAATACGTTTTGGGTGTTTGTTGTGCCTTCTGCCAATGTAACTGATTAACTTTCAATTCACAGGTTATAATTTTTAATTCATTTAACAATTCTATGGCTATAAGTGGGAATTTCAACTTTTGTTCTTTATTATACAACAAATGAACTGACAAAACTTGAGCATTCTAGGCAAAAAAATGAAGAAATTTCCACCTGTTGTTTATAAGCACAATAGAACACCATGATTTTATGTTTGCAAACCACATCACCCCAGTGTCACAGGCCGTGGTAGCATTGATCCCTGCTGAGCAGCAAGAGACAGCAGGTCTGTCCAGGACTTCCTGGAGATGACAGCTCTCTAGGAGTCAGGAGTCTTTCCGGTGTGCCATGATAATTGGTGACAAAGGCCGAACAACACACCGCACAGCCAGAGACAAGCTATGTATGGATTGAGGGAAGCCAGCTCACCTGTTCTGTCCCATCCCTTCCCTTCTAAAATCATTTTTTCTAACATAGCGGTAGAAGGAAAAACTAAGCTGGGTGGTTCTTCTCTTTATTGCTCTCTTTGTTGCTAAAGTTCATTAAGTTTTTCCTTGCCACTCAGTCCTTTCATGTTCACTTGAAGTATACTACTCTTTTAGAAATTATTCATTAAGCTGGAATATCCACCTAATATTTATTGTTGCTACTTTAGAAAATGTCCGGTATCCACACATGCTATAACAGAACTTTCAAAACATATTGAATAATGCCCAATATTTTGGATTTATTTGCCCTCCATTGCTGCCACAGAATTGCAGAAGTCTTAAGAAGATTTATACAACACTTCGCACTTTGCAAGGTCAAATGGGGTCAGATCACACTATAGCAGTCTTCCACCTACTCCATTGATAGCTCCTGAGAGTAGAGGAAAGGGATTTGACAAAAATTACTATTTCAGTGAGTGCTCTAAATTACTACATGCTTTGCTGCTTAAAGACAACCTGCCTTGAACCACTTGATACAAAATAGATATTTTAAAATGCTATGCTATTTTTTAATTCCAAGTAATGAATAAAATGTTAAATAATTTCGGGAAAAAAGAAAAGAAAGAAGGAAAGAGGGAGGGAAGAAGGAAGGGAGGAAGGGAGGGAGAGAGAGATGGCGTGGATCTTTTATTACTTATATTTGGGTTATCTATATTCTAGGGTAGGAGTGTGAATTAAGTCAGAGGAATTTCTCAGTATTTTAAGTTTTATTTAGAAATGGGTTGTGTCATTGCCACAAAAGAATAAGGCCTTCATACAATGCTACTGGAAAATTACATTCAGGTTTGTTCATTTCCTTTAGAAGCCAATTCAACCTATATCAAGTGCTGTAAAGTGACACATTCATCCATGTTTTTGTTGGACAGATCTTAGAGAAGCATGTGCAATCAACTATCGGAGGTTGCTTTCTGGTCCACCGTTTACTTAGCACAAAACACTGATTTTGTTAAGGTTTCTGTTGCTCAATTGTAAAAGCGAAATAGTCATAGGCTATCAATCACATAACTGGGATGGTTTAAATAGTGAAATAAGTAAAATTTCTAGAATACATAGCAAGTGCTCAGTTTCAGTAGATCATCATTATTTAATGGGGAAATAGTATATATATGGTAGTTTGTTAGGAACTGTACATAAAATTTGTTTTCAAGGAGTTATTAAGAACATATGCAATTGTCTATTGTACCATTAGGATCTTATGTACTATTATAGTTATTTCACACCAGAAAATCTATTCGGTATTTACACGTGTGTGACATTTATTTCATTTAGGAGTATATCCTCAATATGTATCCATTTTCCTACCAACGATTCTAATTTCTCATTCTTTATGGCTGAGTCATATTCCATTTTATAGAAAAACCACATCTTCTTTATCCAGTTTCCAACTGATGGGCAAATCAGTTTCCAAGTTTTAGCTATTATAAACTGTGTCACTATAAACATAGGTGTGCATATATCACTGTGACATGATTCTTTTAATTCTTTTGGAAAGATACCCAGCAGAGCTATGGCTGGGTCCAATGGAACCTCTAGTCCCAGCTCTTTGAGGTATCTCCATATTGATTTCCATACTGGTTGCACCAGTCTGCACTCCCACCAACAATGCAGAAAGGTTCCTTTCTCCCCACAACCCCGCCAACATTTATTATTGTGTAATTTCTTGATAGCAGCCATTCTTTGTGGGGTGAGGTGGAATCTCAGTGCTGTTTTCATCTGCATCTCTCGAATGACGAGTGATGTGGAACATTGTTTCATGTATTTACTTGCTGTTTTTACTTCTTTGAGAAATGTCTGTTCATTTCAGATGCCCGTTTTTTAATCAAGTCCTTATATTTGGGGGGGGCTAACTGTTTTGAGTTCTTTATAGTGGGAAGGTTAGGGGAAAGTTAATAAGGGAAAAGAAAAAATATGAAAAAATGAAAAAATGGAAATGAAGTATTTGCAAAGGGGGAGGAGAGGAGGGGGCGAAGGGAGAGCAGGGGCAAGCGGAAGAAAGGAGAACCAAGACCTGTCATGTAGGGCCGGGATTTAGCTCAGCGGTTTGGTGGCCTGCCTTGCAAGCGCAAGGACCCGAGTTCAATCCCCGGTACCAAATAAATAAATAAATAAAAGACCTGTCCTGTAAAGGTACAAGAGCCCAATGATGAATGTAACTGTACTGCATACCTAAAATGTACCAATAAACTCAATGAGAGGAAAAAAAAGATTGGGGACTATCAGAATTATGTTAAAGATTGTGTGTAAACACAGAAAATATTTAACTTCATAAGTGTAAGAAAGAGGACAGGCTATTAACCTATTGTCACTTTGATAAGCAATAGGAATTTTAATTGATTATTCATAGAAATAGAATAAGTGAAGAAGAGAAATACTCAAGAAAAACTTAAGAAATTCTACTATATCCCCTCCTAGTATCCCAACTGAAAAATTTTTAGGTCTTTGCAGTCTGATTTACTACCAACATATCATGTGATTGCTATAGAAAGGAGAATTGTTTTTCTTTGTAAACCTGATTCATAATTATCAGACTCTCATGGGAACTAGGTGTTATTCAAATGAAGTTTTTGATGTATTGAGAAAAGGGGACTGATAAGAAAAAACATGAGCAAAAATAATGTCCAAGAATAAATAGAATTTTATTAGATTAATTCATAGGAAAATGGATACATATTCCTAAGTGAAATAAATAAGTCACACATGTGTAGATACCGAATAGTTTCTCTGGTGTGAATAAACTATAATAGTGCATAAGATCCTAAGAAGATAGTTGACAATGTGAAATAGGAAGAAAGGGGCTAAAGGTTTAGGGAAAGTGGGAAGGGTAGGGAAAAGGTAATAAGGGAAAAGAAAAAAATGTGATAAAATGAAAAAATGGAAATGAAGTGTTTGTAAAGTGGGAGGGGAGGAGGAGGTGAAGGGAGAGCAGGGACAAGGGGAAAAAATGAGAACCAAGACCTGTCATGTAAAGGTACAAGATCCCCATGATGAATGTAACTGCACTGTATGCCTAAAATGTGCCAATAAACTCAATGAGGAAAAAAAAGAAAAAATATATAGAATTTTTAAAATTCAGGTTAAATCTTTAGTAGTATTTAAGCTTTGTAGATCCAAATACCACTGAAGAACCAATAAAACTAGGAAGAATATTCCTGCTATTTATAAAATCAAGGAGAAAATATCAGTTGTAAAACATCAATTCTGGTAAGTATCAAGTAAGCAATTTTTAGTTATAGTATATCAATTTGTATTACTTAGAACAAATATGGCAGAGTTGTTACTTACATGATCTATGGTTAGTGCAGCACATGGGTGAAAGTGATCAAAACAAATGTCATTGTGTTTGACAAAACATATGTACTTCTCTAAATCATTGTACCTCTCTCCATAGAGCACTAAAATTGAACATAACATTCCTAATTAATGGAAATAGAATGACTGGGAAAAACTTTAAAGTCAAAGACAAAATTTGCATGAATATATCTAACCTACCAAGTCTGACTTTATATGATTGCTTTATTTGCAAGTAGTCTTTGGAAAAACTGGCACGACAGCCAGCACTTCTTTTGGAGGTCATCCTTTTTCCTATTATTCTGTCTTCTTGTCTCCAGTAATGTTTGACTGATTGCAGCCACCTTAAAAGTAAACTTACACATTATACAGGCAGAAAATGGAAATATTTCCCATTAATTAGTTTTGGGAAAGACAACTGACAAATTCATGTATCTTTAAAAATGTATTTGACAGGGCCGGGGATTTAGCTCAGCGGTTCGGTGGCCTGCCTTGCAAGTGCAAGGACCCGAGTTCAATCCCCAGTACCAAAAAAAAAAAAAATAAAAAAAAAATTTGACAGATTGAATCCCGCCCTAAATTCTGCAAGATATAGCTTTTCTTTGTAACATTTAATCTCTCTGTACCTAGTTTTCCACATTTTAAAACAGAAATAGTAGTAGTAGTAGTAGTAGTACTAGTAGTAGAAGTACTATTGTCTAATAATAGTAATGGAAAAATGGTAAATCATAAGGTTTGTTATCATTTAAAATAAATTATTACAGTATATGTAAAATATTTAGAACAGTAGCTAGCACATAAGAGATATTATAGGTTTCAGTGTTACAATCGTTGTTATTATGCAAAAATCAGCCTCAGTGATAAACATCATAAACAGCTTTCAATTTCAATGTTCAATTAGCTTTGGTATATTTCTAGACATCTCTACTAAGTGAGATACACATCTTAGGGTCTTGGCTGAATGTGTTATTTTATCTATTTTTGGATTCCTGGTAAAGAAAAATGAACATATTTTCATCATTTCCTATTAAGCTTTTTTGAGATATTAGGGGAAGTTTCCTACTAAATTGAAGATCTGGCTGGGGTGGGGAGTCCTTATTATATCTAGAGGGTGCCAGCACCTGCAAAGAAGTGTTAGAAAACACTATCTTGAAGATCTAGAAATAAACTATTAGTTAACCAGACAGTTATGAAACTCTTCAAAACCCACAAAGGAAAGGTGAAATTCAGACTTCTAAGACAGGGAAACATTCATTTCAAACTGGAAGGTAATCGTACTCTGTGAGATGCTCAGGGTTACTTATGGTAGCCGAAAGAGCCAAAAAGGGACATCGGATCATGACAAGGAGATGCTCCCAGACTTCTGCTCCTATTTCTCCACCAAGACAATGGACCTGTTAAAGAAAAAACTTTCTCAGCTGAAGAAGTTGACTTAAAAACAGAAAATGAAAATAAGACAAAAAATTCTTATGCATAGAATCTCATTAGCATTAATTAAGTATGCCAGGTTTAAATATGGATCAGAAAATCCAGGCAATAGAAAAGCTGGAAACTGGATTTCTTGAAATCCTCATTCCCCTTCCAACAATATCTCCTCTTTGTTTTAAGACTTTACTTCAAACGTATGTATTTCTCACCAATTCCACTGGCAAAGAAGCCTCCATCACATCCTGCTGCATGAACACAATAGCCTCTTGAAGAAGCCTCTTCTTCCTTTCTTGATACCCTATATCCCTCACATCACTGCCAAGTAATGTCTTAAATTCTATCAAGCCACATCCCTAATTTAACTTCCTCCATATCTTTCCATTTCACATGAAATAAAATTTCACCTTCTTAATAGGATTTATGATTCCTGACATAATTTGGCCACTGCTGCCAATCTAGATTTATCTTGAGCCACACCGCCCCTTCCTTACTATGGTTTGGACATATCAGTCTTTTCTGTTCCTTGACCACACCATTCCATTTAAGAGCATTCACATTATTCTTCCCTCTTCTTAAGATACTTTTATGAATAAAAATTTAAAACAACAATAAATACTAGTATTTTCGCTTACTGAACCTATAGAATCCATTTGAATGTCATTCCTCACAAAGGAGTTTTATGGCCACCAATTCCAGAGTTGTTATCCTGTGACCTTGTCATTATTTTAGTCATGACAGCCCACTCTTTCCCATTGCAGTACTCACTGGTGTGTGTTTACGATCATGTGTGTGCTTACATGCTTAATTTCTTTCTCAATGCAATTGTAACCTTAGTTGTGGATATTCCTAGCATGGACACAGTGCCAGACACTCTGGAAGCATTCTTTAAATAACTGCTGAATAAATAAATGAATACCTTTTAACCAAACAAATTAAATAGACTAAGAAAAGATTTTAACAAGCCATCCGAATTAACATTCAGAAATAAAAACTTGCATGAACTACAATGTAAATATAAACAAAATTCAAACCAAAATAATCAACTCTGCTTTCACTGTCACACCCAAGGCAGTCTTCACTCATGAAAACTGCATCTGCCATGCACAAGTATGGCTTACACTCATAGCACGTATGTTTTGTTTTCCTGTCCTTTTTGTAGGGCACAGTTGACGTCTTTGTGGTTTCCCTGCTTTAGTAGTAGGACTCTGTGATGCTGTGCTTGCCTATGCACCTGTCAGTTCACCAGCATCCTCCACTAGTTTTTTGCATGGTTCCTGGGGCAGAAACATTTTGTTTGTCCTGGGCTGTAAATGATCTCTTATGAGTTCAAGTCCCAGTCCTCTAAGAAAATGTATCCATGGTATTTTGTGCCTGTTATTTTCTTTGTAAACTATCAAACTAGTTATGCTACACATGTTCAGAATTGAGAAGACACAACCATTGGCCAAGACTTTGTGTTTCAAGTGACATCATATTTTTTGTGTAACTCATCAACAACATCTACTCTGCCTTTGTATTTTTTGTAGAAAGTTACCGTTTTAGGCTTCTGTTTGGTCGTGGTTTCCCTATCAATATCTCCATCGTGGTGCAATGTTGCTATCAGCAATACCAGTTTGATTTTCTTTGCCATACATGAAGCCGATGTTATGTTTCTGAAATCCAAAGACTATACTACACAATTCTCTATTTTGAAATTGCAACATATCACTTGGAAAATTATATATATTTATGCCAAATTTTGAAGGTTTTTTTTTTGGCATATGCTGCCTAAAGCTACAATGACTATGAAATACTGAAAGATGTTCATCAATAGTCATGTATTCAGATAGTGTGCAAATTGCCTTACCTTTTGAAATAAAACTATCAAACAATGAGTGGATAGCAGCCAGAATATCACTTCTTTTTCTTCTTGGTAAGTAGTTTTGTCAACAAACCTCAGGCAATTTTGAAGAAAACCAAATTTCCTCAGGGTTGTTTTTATTCTACACCCCTGAATCCCAGGCCCGTAAGTCTTTTACATTCCTATGATTACTATGAGACAGCCCTGCTATGCATAGCAGACTTATGAATACTTTCAGTTCAGCTAGTGAGGTGTCATAATAAACATATTTTTGAGTCTGGCTATTGTTGCATATAGAATATTTTACTTGTACTTCATTATTTTTGCATTTCCCAACAACTTGTGGCATTTTGTCTGTTACAATTTCCCACACTGAATAGCAGTGCTGGCATTTCATCCAATAGATTTCACCACTGTCAAAATTCTCACTATATCTTTAGATGTAGTTCTAACATTGGATCAATCTATTTGGTTGCATGATAATTTTGTACCATTTTGACTAGTCAAATATGTGCTAACATTGCTGTTTTCTTTGTTATTGATTCAGGGAGGTATTCATCCTCTGTGTCTGTATCAGTCAATTCTTGCTCCATTTCACTGTCACAGGAACTTTGGCTCACATGGCTAAAGTCAATTCTTAAATGAACACCTAGTGCTTCTTTGGAGTTCCTTTACATATCTTGCCATTTATCTACTGAATGAATGCAGATGGGTTCCTGCCTTCCCCACACCCAGCCACGGTGAGCCACACCCACATTTCTTTATGGTACAACACAGGTTTACATAGAAGATGAATGCTATAGGTTTATTTTAACCTTCATTATGCTCAGGGAAATGCAAAAACAGTTATAAAGAGCATTATGTAGGTAAATTTCCCACTTTGACATTTTTGCACACATGCACCCACCCTGATGTTTGTTGTACTAAGTCAGTGAATACAAACATTGTTTCCTGTATCCCTCCAGTGCAGCTACTAAGATGCATAGCTAGTACTATTATGCTAAAGTGTAAATTTACTGTAGACAAGTATAGGAAAGGCTTTTGTTACCCAATGTTAAGTAAATATTTCCTCACCTTTAAGCAAAGAAGTAAGTTACTAGCTCTGGATTACTTCACTGACCCATATGGTTTTCCTAAAACACACCTACAAAAATTAGCCTCCTTGAAGTGTAATTTATTTGTTCCATCTGTTTCCAATTCCGACAATTCTATAGTATGTAATTGACAACTTTGGTAGAACTCAAAATTTTTTGCTTATAATATAGATTTGATTTTGAAATCTTTATGCACTGAAGCATATGTCATGACATTTGAATTCTGTTCACCCTGAAACATCTGTCTCCAATGAAAGTTCCCTCTTCACATAGAGTTTAAAAGTTGCACTAACATACCCTATAGAATCACACAAAGCAAGAGAGGCAAAAGACTGATTATGATTCACTGGGGGAACTTCTCAGAAGAGCTACCATCCACTCTCATCTAAATCTCAGTAGACAGATTCCTGAAGCACCAAAGATCTTCATTGTAGTGTTTATGCTCACTAGAAAATAAACCCAGAGAAGCAAAACCAAGCCTACCTCATCAAATATAACATATTGAATCCTTTTCACCCATTGTTGGCGATGTGGAGCTAGCAGCAGAATTTCAAAGCAGGCAGGCACTGTAACAAGTACCTAAAAATAATATTATGTCAACTAATATATTGAGCATGTAATAGGTATAAGTGTAGTTATAAAACTATATATGATAAGAGTTAAGGGTTCCTAGATGCACCTGCTGATAATTAGACTATAATATTACTTCTGAGACTTAATTATGTGAAAATTCTGATGTATTACTCAGAAAGAGATAAAACTTCCATTTTTTTAGCTCAAGTGGTGAAATATCAAATTTGAAATTTTAATTATCTTATTGTAAATATTAGCATATATTAAGTGTATAAAATAGTGACATTTGCACTCTTGCATGTTGCATACTTTAATCACATCCATCTTCTCCATCACTCTCTTTAGTGAGCATTTAGCATTAGAAAATAGAAACTGTTCATTGTCACGGGTCTGAGTCTTTAAAATCTAACTCTGCAATAGAATTCAGGTTGGATTATGTTTACTAAGAATCAACAAAGGAAGCAGTACTTGGCAGAGAACTAGGCCAAACTGCTGATGGGACAGACCTTCAGCCAGTATGCCTAAAAGATGTGGATGAATGTTGTCTCAAATGGTCCCCTTTGCACAAATGTTTGACTGTTTAGCTCAGTCAAAAGATATGGATGATACAGGAAACCCAGGGACCACTGGCATCTGTCCTCACCACACACGTCAGTCCTAGGCAACAAGTCTTTCCTCAGAAGGTGATTTGAGTCGCATATCTCCATGTCTACTACATGTCTATGATCATGCATTCACTTTCTCTTATTCTGTATTATTGATCTGCGATTTTAATGAGGCAATCTATCTATGATTTCATTAACAAGGTATACCATCCTTAATACATGTTTTTATAGTATTCTTCAAATGTGCTTTGCATAAAGAATAATTATCATTAGAAATTTCTGTGGTTAATTTTTATAACTTGTAGAATTCTTACAATTGTCTTGAATCTATAAACCATCATAATGTAATGAACTATAGCTGAAATCTGAAATCAAAATGCAATAGTCCTTAGAAAAAGATGAATTCTATTTCTTACTCTTCACAATGTAACAAAATTACACTTTCACTAAAGCCTTTTTGTTTTTTATAAATTCAGGGAAAATATTTTCACAAGCACTTGTGAAGATTTGGGGTTTCTAATGAAAGAGATATATAATTACTGTTACATAATTTCATATCAAATTTATTGAAGAACATACTCTACCTGAGAGTTGAGTGCATCGTGACGATATTCCCTTGTAAAAATACCACATAGTGATGCACCTTTTGGAAGATTTTTGGTATAACGATTTTGAACAGTTGCTGCCACTTGATTAACCAGGGCCTGATTGACAAGGAAACAGACCATTAGTCACGTACTAAAATATAGATAGGTGAAATGTCAAGAGACCAGTATTGTTCAAAGGTATGTCATGCTAGACATACAGAATGTTTAGTAACCCTTTCTTCTACCCATCTTTCTAAATAGTGTAAAACAAATAATCCTTTTGAGATACTGAACTAAGAGTATGAACCCCATTAATAAACCTGAATTGAAAGTAAAAATAAAAGAGAAGTAAAAGTTCACCTGTAATACAAATTTAATAATCAAGATATATCAGGTACAGGTACAAATTTCTTATGGTGAATGTATCTAAAATGCAACATTAAACTTAATAGAAATAAATATTTAGAGATAATAAAAAAATGTTGCTTTCATGCAGGAAGTAAAATCCCTAAACGAATTAACACTTGCATGGCCAACACCTAGAGAAAAACTGATTTTACCAAAGAATGAAGTTCAAGTGAGAATACTCAAGACAGACTGTGTCTCCTCTGTTTGGTGATGTACCCTAGACTCCTGAAGCTGAGTGTATACACGAATGACGAGAATCCTGTTCAGGATCAAGTAAGTGGCAAGCTCAGTGGAATTTATAAACCTGCGAACATCTGTCTTACACCTGATTCTACAAAAAATTGAAAATCTATCTAGACTAAGATGTACACTACATAATGCAATCATAGAGGTATTAGGAGGGGACATTTCCATATATTTCAGCACACACACACACAAAAAAACAAATGAAAACATTGATAGTTCTGACTAAGCAAAGTTTTTGTTGTTCTCATTAAAATAATAAAGTGAGAAAAGGACAAATGAAAGAATGTTCCGCTATCATTTTAGTCAAAAGATTTAGCATGTTTTATATAAACTTTTAAATTTATTAATAATATTCAACCGCTTCCATAAGAAAAAGTGAGTAGATACGTTCATAAGTACGTTTTGAGTAAAGAAATCCAATGTGTAAAAAACTGAAATAGTATATAAGATCCTAATGAGATAATTGACAATGTTAGGTGTAGGGAAGGTGGGATGGGTAATAAGGGAAAAGAAAAAAAATGTGAGATAATGAAAAGATGGAGATAAAGTGTTTGTAGATGGGGGGGAGAGGAGGGGGTGAAGGGAGGGCAGGGACAAGGGGAAAAATGAGAACCAGGACCTGTCATGTAAAGGTACAAGATCCCAATAATGAATTTAACTGTACTGTATACCTAAAAGGTACCAATAAACTCAATGAAATAAAAAAAAAACAAATATCATCACCAAAGTGCAGCCAAGTCACTAATCACAGAGATGTTAATCTAAAGATAAAAGAGTGATTTACACTTACGGGACAAGGGGAAAAATGAGAACCAGGACCTGTCATGTAAAGGTACAAGATCCCAATAATGAATTTAACTGTACTGTATACCTAAAAGGTACCAATAAACTCAATGAAATAAAAAAAAAACAAATATCATCACCAAAGTGCAGCCAAGTCACTAATCACAGAGATGTTAATCTAAAGATAAAAGAGTGATTTACACTTACGAGTATGCAAAAATCCATTAAATGGCAATAAAAGTATTGGAAAACTTAACAATGTATACTCATCCTCGTGGAGGGAATTAAAGTGGATTTAAATTTTGAAACAATAATTTGCCAAAATCTTCTGTGTTCAATTTACCAATTCCACTGTTAATTTTTTAGAGACTTACATTTTATAAACTTCCTGCTAAGGCAAGTTATTGCTTTAATAATCATGAAAAACAACAAAGCTACAAGAAAAACGAAACACTAATTTAAACTAATCATGTCTTTCAATTTGTTGTGCAGGCTGATCATGAATCACTCAACACCACACATTTTCCAAAAACTAAAGTCAATCTACTCCATTCTAGTTGGAAGACACCTGAATTAGGTCTACAATTGCCCCAATTAAACTTCTGTAGAGGAACCACATTAAACGAAAAGTTGTGAATGAGAAAACATAGACTTTTACTTCCCACAAATCAAACTTTCTCCTAAAATATAAAAATCATTGTTTTTTTTTTAAAGTCCAAACTTAGCAGAACTAAAATAAAGGAAATTTGGTAACGTAAGCAGGCTTGAGAAACAGCCAGTACCCAATGCCTAACAGCGAATCAAGCATGAGTTTGCGAGCCCTGCAGGGGCAATACCATGCCCTTCATTCACTGCCCAACAAAGTGTGAGTGCTTCTCTTAATTCAAGCATCAAGCTCAAGGCTTAGATTGAAAGACTAGATTTTTTGTTGTTGTTGTTAATGGTTCCATGCAGGTGATATCTTAGACTCTGAAATTGAAATTTAAAAATTGTAGATTAAGAAAAAGGAGAACTAGACTTTTATGACCACATTCAGCATTTTTAAAGGAGGTTCAAGAAGGAAAGAGCAAATTACATGATCTTGAGGCTACCTTTGTTGGTGCTACGTACACAACCACCCCTTCATCACCCTCCTTCAGCACTTTCTCCATGCAGTAGTAGGAAGCATAGGTTTTGCCTGAGGATGTTGGAGCGACAATCACTGCTGACTCATAGTTATCCACCACATCAAGGAGTTCTCGCTGCAGGGTTCAGAGTATCATACGTTTCAGGAATGTAAGCGACACATTAGCAAGGCAAATACGTTAAACGTTTCCAATATAATTTTCTGAGTCCCACATGGAATGCTTGAAATTTGTCATGGCACAGAAAAAAAAATTAAAATATCTGAAAAACACATGTTGTTCTCTCAGAGAATATAATTTATTTGCTTTTGAATATCTGAAAATTGAGTTTTACTTTTGACAAATGGAAAGGAAGCCTTAATCAAACATTCTGTTATTGGGAAGATTTCTTTGTAGTTATTTGTCACTCAGTAAGTGCAGAATGGCTTTGAGGAATACTACTCTACGAAGTAGCAATTTCGTAATTTGTAATGATGAAGAAATGGCTGGTTAGGAAAAACATCAAAGATCTTAATTGTGCTACCCACCTGCTACTTTCTGTATAGAATGCAAGGTGCCTAGTCTGGAGGTCAGGTAGGAGCTTCATTTCCACAGCCTATGTTTTTATTCATCAGTATGACATCTAGTCAAAATAACTCTAAACCTATAAAGTACAGAGGATGGAAAAATACCTCCAAATTCCAACTTGCACCCTTATTAACTCTAGGTCCACTCTCACACCTTATGGTGAAGTGAGCATCAGGAGAGTTGCAAGGTGCACGTAATTAATGGAGAGTATTTGTTTCCCTTATGGCCTGCACTGAAATAAGAAATCAGTCCTCCTGCTGATGGAAAGGAAGCATGAAGGTTTTACAGTAGCCCACTATTATCAGTGGAAGGAAGATAAATTCTATGCTGTGGTTCCAGTATGGTTTTAGTGTCCTTCAAGCGTTCTTGTGTTAGAAACTTGGTCCCCACGGTGTACAGCATTAAGAGAATCTTTACTAAATGACACTGAGTGAGAGGCGCCTAGGTACTGGGAATGAGCTAGGGAAGGTAGTTCCTGTGGGAGTTCCGGGTAGTTCTCCAGACAAGGTAGTTATAAAAAGCACAAGCCCAGCCTTGCTTAGTTCTCTGTCTGCTTGTTTGAAGATATGACATTTTCTCCGACACATATTCCCACCATGAGGTCATACTATTCTGCTCTTGAACCCTCATGGGGGCCAAACTAATGATGCCAACTGCTTTTGGACTTTTAACCTCCAGAACTGTAACCTAAATAAACCTCTTTGTAAAGTTAGCATGCCTCGTGTATTTCATTACAGTAATGAAATACTTACATATAGTCTGATTCTAAGTGAAAGAAACTATTAGACTGAATATAGAAAACTGCATTTTTGTAAGTAAATATGATCAATGTCTAATCAATTTTATATGGCCAATATATGAAAAATTGTATGCACTTCTTCCCAATTTTATATCTATAGATATTTTATATACATTTATAGAAAAATAGTAGTTATAGTATATAAATATCTAAACAACTGTCTCTGTTGTGTAAACTACCACATTTTCTCTGTGTACATATATATATTCATGTAGGAAATCATATTGCCATGGAGAAAATCAGGAGGGTGCTCTCCAAATTGATACAGCTGGATGGCATGAATGTCTTTAATCTTCAAATCTATATAGTCAATTGATCACTTACTTCCAACTAAATGGCATATATTAAATGAAAGTTTTACTTTTCATCAGTGAGAAAAATGTCAGCATTTGGCACTTTGCATAATTATTGTTAAATGACAAAACCCAATATTAAGAAATGTATGCCGGATATAATATTTAAAGTTACAATATTGAGAAATTCCTGCATTCACATATACACAAGATTTTTTCATTGGCATTTGTGTCATTACCTGCCAAGTGTCAGGAATAAAATCCTGAACTCTCAGATCTGGATCTTTTCTTTCTTCTCGTATCAAATGATGGCCCATGTACTGTAGTTGAAACCGAGATGGCCCAATGCCAACTGAATATTTATTCTTTCGCTTTTTCCTTATATCATCTATTACATCCTATATTATTTCAGAGACAATTTTGAAAATGATTTAAATTAAACATCATTTACATCGTTAAATTATTTATTTCTAAGCTTCTATGTAAAAAGCATTTTACCACTTTTTAAATTTTGTAAAGACATTACTTCTTAAATTATCCTCAACTGTGAACAAACTAATAGATATCAAGATTTTAAAATAGCCATCATAGGTCTTATACCAACTATTTGATATATTTTAAAAAATGGAATAATCACACTATAGTTTTGAGAAGTTTTGCTAGGATGAATTATATAATTATTAGTTCTGAGGTCTACACAAATTATCTAGCATTTAGTCTATTTCTCCAGCAAACTATTTACACAAGATGTCTAATTCCATATCACTTCAAGATTGGTCATTTGGGTAACTAATAATGATAATATTTTCAGTTTTTAAAAATCTAAAGGATATTACTATATTTTCAAGAAACTCATGTATACCTAATATTTACACTATTCAAATATTACCTGGCTTGTAAATAAAGACCTTGCCAAGTCATCAAATCCTAAATAATCAAGGCATTTTCCTATGAACTGCCGATCTGTATCTTGCAGAAGATCTGAGTATTTATCCATCAAGGAGTGGATCCTTTTCATCATTTGGATAGCTATATTGAAATCTTTTACAGTCTTGCCTTTGTGAAAAAGAAACATAAAATGGTTATTATAGAAAGCCATCAAATAGTAGGTTTTTGATATCCAACATTAATCATCTGGCCTATTAATCTTAATTATACTCACTATCTTACTTGGCATTAATGGAAGTTTTGAAGTAGAGAGTATTAAATAAAAGTAAAGTTTAATTATCAAAACTTCATTATCTCCATGAATTTTTGAGAATACTTATGCTAATGCTAGAATAAAGAAAAATCTTGTAATTCATGTGAGATTGTTAAACTGAAGATTTTAGAAGTTTATGAGGAATAAGTCATATCTCCATCTATTATTTTATCTTCTGTGTTCAAAAGAAAATGTTTGTATAACTTTAAATGATTGATTAAAAATTCAGCAAAATTTATTGAAAACTGATTTTGACCATAGATATGCATTTGGTGTAATCACTGGAATCTTTTAATTCAATCCTTCTATTTCCACTGCCAGATGCGAACTTGCACAATCCTTCTCCATTCCTGTAGAATCATATATACCCTTTATACTTTTCTCTTCTGCTAATCTTTTCATGCTTACCATGTCAGTGTTCCTGTGTGTCCACTTTTCTCCTAACCAGTTGTTTTCATCTATTCACCAACTGTTGCCAAACACCTAATGAATCCAATAAGAGGCTATCCAAAAAATTTAATATAAAGTTCTTATCCTCCAAGAGAGCCCCATCCAGTTACAAAGTCAATATGCAATAATTTGATTGTTGCACAGTATACAACAGATACTATAGGTGTTATGTGAGCCCTATCAACGAAAGGCTTTATGGTAAGATGCTTCACGAAATGCATTTGGAGAATAGGGAGAATTTAAACAGATGAAAAACAAGGCTATAGACCTCTGTGGCAAATGCTATTATGCATTTCTCTACTCATTACTAATCCTTATTATTTCTTCTATATCATAAGGAACTTCCATATATCCAAGTAAAAGTCTCCATTTACCAATACCCTTTGTGATTAGCTGCAGCCTTGTCATCAAGATCTGGCTCATAATATCTATGAGGAAGTTACTGATAGCAGGAAAACTCCTTAAAAGACAGAAATGAGACTCTAACAGGCATAGAAAAGTTCAAGAGACCAGCTTGAACCCACACTGAGCAGGCTTTAGATATTATTGATTTGTTTTATAATTAGGCTATTGGTTAAATTTATGAGTCATTGCAAAGCCTAAGTGTGACTTGCTAATTGGCCTTTCAGCTGGTGGAAATAAACTTTGCTATGCCAACAGCCACAACTGGGATCTCAATGATTGATGAGGTTATGACTTCTCTAGTAACAAGGAAACACTACAGCTGAGAATCATGACTCTGTGTAACCATTCCCCAAGATCAAACATTAGCTAAAGATAATGCAGGTGGCTCCTTAGGCATGCCCTGTAAGATGGCACAGTTGCCTTGTTAACTGTGGCCTGTCCATCACAAGCACACAGCCTGGCTCATTAGTGCATTAGCTCTTCCTTCACACCCCCTTGCTATGTTGTATAATCATGAATACTGACTAATGCAGAGCTCCTTGTCTTAGCCAGGACAGAGCTAAGATTAGGTGGTCTTTAGCCGGGAAAGAACTAACGATCAATTCCTGGCCCAACTAATAAACTGTCTCTTGTTATTCTCTATTCTTTGTTCTTCGTATATTGTTCTTTTATCCTCTGCTATACACTCATCAGGCAACCAGCTGTCCCCCTGTACATCCTCAGCCTATAAACCTGATATTTCCTCCTTCCTTTTCTCCTCATATTTGCTAGAATGCAGTCATGTAGGAATGTAAGGTAGCCTGAAGCGTGGAACACATGTGGAGTATAAGGGAATCAACATAGAGGTTCCTGGGTCACTGGTGCGACTGTGCAGCTGTCACAGTGGGCTAGACAGACCCCAGGTGAGCTTCATTCAAACGAGTAAATCACTACCTTCTTGAAGCCATCATTGATTCCTCTTACTAGCAGCCAAGTGTAAATCTGATTAATCTTCCTGATTGGTGTGAACAACACACGCTAAATAAAATACATAGCAAGATACTGACTTTGCTGGAACGCACAATGAAGGAAAAGGAATAAATCTTGAAGGCAGATTGTGTGATGGAGAGAATGTGAATATCACGTGTTAATGATTCAAGTGTGGAAATCTCAAGACTAGCAGATCGCCCATGTTGACTCCACCAGACTGCCATATCGGAGGTATTAAGAAACACAATCATTTTCCTGTTATTAATTTACATATGTTTCTCTATCCCTTCCTGTGTCACACTACCTTTCTCTTTCTCTTTTGCATTTCTACTACCTGCTTTAGAAAATGTATTTTAGAGCACATCGAATCTACAGCATCTCTGCGAGAACTCAGCATAGCAGACAAACGTGAACACCAATTCCCAGAGAAAGAAAATATTTATGCTTTGGAATACAAAAGAGAATGACAGATTCTCCCTGCGTGTCTACCATCTTTTAGTTCCCTTAATCACGCAACTACTTAATACGGAGCTTTTGTAAAACCTATCTTTGATTTTGCTTATGACTGTGCTCTGTATTTGCTACTAAAATGTAATTGTTCATGGATAAAATTGAGATTGATAAAATGGAGATAATACTACTTAATAACATCAGATAATGCACATAAATCATCTCACACAAATTTCCAATTAACAAGTGATAGCTATGATAATAACATTTCTATAGTTGTCCAGTTCGCCAAAATAAGAAAACATAATCATGTACCTTCACCTTGACAGTGTTCTTTCCATGCTTTCAAGCAGGCAGTAAGCCCAAACATTTCAACTTGAATTTTCACTGAGTTACTTTTACATGATTTCAAAAAGTCTTCCAAGTCCTTTACCCCAGAGTTTAAATTCTTTGTCATTTCTTCTTCAATAGACAATGACAGAGCATTCCATTTTTGCTCTTCTTTTTGTTCCTCCTTGGCAAATCTCCTCTCCTTATTCGCTCTGGCAATTATTTCAGCTTTGGTCTCCTGCCCAAAAAGAATGAAACATTTTTGCAACAAGTTCAAAATATTCCAAGATGACATTACAGGAAACAATATTTTAAAATATAAATTAATGATTTGACAGTCGTCCTATTCTTTAATAGGCATGAGACATAAAATGGCTTTTCTAAAAATTAAGCTTCAGATGTTAGAGTAACTAACATCTACAACTATTTAGACATTTCAAAGTAACTAGAAAGAAAGTTTGAAGGTTCTCAACCCATAAAAATTATAGTACAGGGCCAGGAATTTAGCTCAGTGGTTCCACTGCTTATCTTGCAAGCACAGGGACCCGAGTTAGATCCCCGGTACCAAAAAAAAAAAAAAATGATAGTTTTATCTGAGGTATATATGCTACTTATCCTGATTTGATCATTACACATGCAATGTATGAACATGTATCAAATTGGAATACTGTACCCCATAAACGACTACAAATATTGTATGCTAATTTAAAAATAAAAATTAATAGTTCAGCCTACTTTGGTGGCCTATGCCTATACCCACAGCACATTCTGGGAGGCTGAGGCAGGAAGACTATGATCAGAACAACTTAGTGAGTCAGCAAGACCTTGCCTCAAAATTTAAAAGAAAAATTTGTTTAATTTTAAGAAGCCTAGAGATGTAGCTCAGTGTAAAGAACTTGGATTCAATCCCAAGTACCACACAATTTAATTTAGTGAGCACAAAGTCACACTGTAGAAAAATTTAAAAATTTTAAGTGTTGTCATTTTAAGAAAAAAGAAATTTTCAAAAGACTCCAAACTGCTGATATTTATTGCACTAGTAACTGTTACTCTCTCTGAAATTACCTTCCCTCTTCCATTCCTCCAAAGTCACTTCCTATTACCTATTTTGTTAAGATATTTCTACCATGAAGGCCTGCCTCTCTCATGCATCGGTCGTTTGTTCCTCCTTTACCTGCTCATCTACTAGCTCTAATCAACATGAACTAGAGTTGTACTCGCTGTAGCACATATAACTGTATTTGTGTGTAGTTTTCCTGGTGCTCTTCTGAGAAACTTGAGACAGGATTATGCCATGTTTTTTATGTCCAAGCACAAAGCATTTCAGTCACAATTTTTTATGAGTAAAATGAGGAAAGAGGAAGATTATCAAGGAAAAGCGAATACAGAAGGACAACCAAAAACAAATTATTTGCTTTATCTATATAATGTTTCCAATTGACTTATGCACTGTATAACAATTTTACGACAGTTTTACTAGCCTGACTTATTATTAATAAAGACAAGCTTAGAGAACAAGAAAATTTTGACAAACTTTCCACTACCCTAGTTGCTCATCGAATTCGTGTAAATATTTTACTATCATGAAGTAAAGTTTAAGTGTCATTTGTCTCTAAACATTTGATTCTAGTCTATAATACTTGAGCTTTCCCAGTGTTTAGCATTCCAAGGGCCCTGCTCAGATCCATGCATAGCAGTTCTCTTTCAGTAAGACAAGGGTGGGACCAAGCCCTTTGCCAATTTACCATGCTCACTTTATGTTGAACATGCAGGCTTACTGAAATATTGGTGGAAGAATATATTCAAATTGTCTTTAGAAGACTAGGCTTTCCAATAAGAGTAAGAGGTTAAAAGTACGAAATATTTCTCAGTCTTCATATCTTGACCTGTGTGATGATATTTCTTGACAGTTAACTATTTGTAACAACATCTCTCAGAGTAAAAAAGGAAGGACAAGAGAGGGGAAGAGGAAGAGGAGGCGGAGGAGGAATACAGTATTCCTGGCAGTGCTAAATGAAAAAGTAAAAGTTCCTTTGGGGAATCTCACCCACAACAAAATTGGCTATAAAAGTGAAAAGAAGGTTGTCACCATGACAAAGAAACAATAATCACATAGATGGTTCATTGAGGCTGCCTTTACAAACAGAAGAGTTGAAGCAGTCTGCAATTCTGATTGGGCTTTTCAAGTAGTTAAAGAAAGCAGACTTCACAAAATAACAAGAACATTTTAGAGTAATTTGAGATTTTTAAATTTTATCTTGAGTAGAATATGAGAGAGCTACTTTGAAAAACCCTCCAAAGGATGCCTGTCCGTCCATGTATTGAAATATGCACTTTTTGCTTATTAATTAGTTGGAGAACTGATAAAGAAATGACACACTTTTTATCTTGATAGAGTATTCCTAAATGTAAATATTCTGCAGATTTTTTGCTTGCTTTGGTTGTTGTTATCATTGTGGGGACAAATTATATGTTTCCTTTCTTATAACTTCATTATGCTTACTTCACTCAATAAGGTAGACATGGCCAATGCCTGTTGGAAATTGGTTTTATTAAGATGGTACTCTCATAAATTAACACATTCAATTTTAAGAGACACTATTAATGAAAGTAAATACCATTCCCTAATCCCCAACTTTGAGTCTCCCAGAACGAAACTGAATTGTAATGACGGCTCATTGTATAAAAGGCAGTAAAGTGTTGCCTTCCATGAAGTCATAATATTAGTAAATCCAGTTTTAACACAATTTTCTTATCTTTTTTTTCTTCAGTAAGTTTATTGGTACATTTTAGGTATACAGCACAATGAAATCATTGGGAATTTGTACCTTTACATGACGTATCTTGGTTCTTATTTTTCCCCATTCCCTTGCCCACCCTTCAACCCTTCCATCCCTCTCTATTTACAAAGACTTTGTTTCCATTTCTTCCTTTTCTCATGTTTTTTTCCTTTCCCTTCTTTTCCTTCCCCTAATCTTCCCATTTCCCCTTCACCTTTAGACATTTTCTTCCTATTTCACATTAATAGTTATACATTTTAATACTTATTTACACTTTCAGTTTGTCACACCAGAGAAACTATTCCATATTTACACATGTGTGTCCTATTTATTTCACTTAGGAGTATGGCCTCAATATGCATGTTTAACTATAAATGTCTCTAGTTTCTCACTCTTCACAGCAGAGTAGTATTTCATTTTATTACACACACACACACAAACACACACTCACACACACACACATATCTTCCTTATCCAGTATCCAGTTCACACACACATCTTCCTTATCCAGTATCCAGTTGATGGGCAATTGGGCTGTTTCCAAGTTTTTGCTGTTACAAACTGGGCTGCTATAAACATGGGATACATATGCCATATATATCACTGTTAGCACAATTTTCTCTACTTAGTTGTTAATATAACAAATGTTAATTGATAATTTTCACATTAGCCTTTAATAGTATTATTCCCGAAATCAGTATAAACTCTGTGCCCTCACAGAGCATCCAGCACAAGCAAGCAGGGTATATCCCCTTCCTGAGATCCTCCCTTCTCTCTCTGCTTCCTGGCTACCATGGGTTAAGCGTCTCTTCCTCTGTATGCCGTCCTGCTTCTGCCTTGGAACCAGAATGCCATGGACTGAAATTGAGAGCCAAAATAAACCTCTCCTTAAAGTTGTGGGTATCAGTTATTTTGGCCCAGTGAAAAGTGACTAAAAACTTACACTGTGTGAAATATCTCAATAAAACTGAACAAAGAAGGCACTACCATCCACCAGTTCCAAGCTGGCTCTACATTTTGCTCCCCTTTGGCATGTGGTAGTAGAGATGCAGACTAATTAACCAACGCGATCCTGGATTCAGCAGACTCCAGACCAGAGGGCCAGTCACCTTTCATATCTATCAATGTGAGCAAGGACACACACTGCCTAGGACTACAACCACAGTCTGGGGTAAATGGACGGACGGGATGCTGGTGTAGAAAGGCACCTCAAAAATCCATAGTTCCTAAAGCTAGGCAAAGAAACCACTGTCTGCACTCTAAGACTGCAAGGCCTAGAAAGAAATCACTTATTTAAAAAAAAAGAGAAAATTTTTTTCTTTCAAACCATTTTAACTTTTCTATTAATTATTTTTCTCTGTCCATTGGTTTATGTGAGGAATTAGGCTTTTTTATAGTTTTATCTCTTTAGTTTCTTCTCTCTCTCTCTCTCTCTCTCTCTCTCTCTCTCTCTCTCTCTCTCTTTTTCTCTTTTCCCTTTCAACATCTTTTTCTCAACCTTCTTGTCTTTCATTTGCTGTATTTTACTTTCTATTTATGTTTTCTCTTTTTTCTTATTTGTTCTTTCTCATTACTGTTTTCTAACACTATTACTTTCATTTACTCCCCAAGAGGACACCTATCTTAGTTTTCTTTCTTCTTATATCCCATTGGTTAATTTTTCAAATTTTACTCTCTTCATTCTCCAGTTTCTTAACACCTCCACCTTTGCAAGTAGAACTATTAAGCTTTTTAAATCTCTAAATAATGAGCCCACTTATGCTATTACTGTAGAATACTGTTCTATTTTAGTAGGGTAAAGCTGATCCACTTCGTAGATATGTACTATACATCAATAGGAGGTCAATACCTGGATCATCTTAGTGTTCATGCTATAATTATAGATATCTTTTCTATGATTAAGGGTAGTACATTATTGATCCTTAGAATCTGTCAATATCCAGTTCATGTTCAACACTATTATTACCACTGATGTTATTAGTATAGCCAATGTGACATAATTGTTGCTATTAATTGGTTTTCTAGGGATTCTAATATATGAGCTGCCTTGGGATCATTAACAATATTGTGTCCCATAACAGGAAAGCTTAGCTCTGGTCCAAATATACTGCAAACTACCTTTGCAAGTACTCAGAGATGGTCAGACCCTGGGATAGAGACAAAGGCAATAGCCATATACATGAATAACCACTGAAAGTACATATTAAGAGCTCTCCATCCTAACAACCGATACTGACACTATAATCAGCTTACAAAAACTCACAATGGAACAGGTTTTTTAAAATGTAAACATAAAAAGAGAAGGCCACAGAATGCCTAACTCAAAACTTATTCAAGAAGCATGGAAGAGCAAGAAACCAAAAGCCAAACAGCAAAATAATTTGACAGGATAAAGAAAGAGATAACAAAATAGATCAATAGGACTCTTGGCAAACTTAGAGAAGATATTGACAAACAAATAATGGGGCAAACAAACAAAACAGTCACCAGGTTTACAAAAGACAGTAAAAGCAAGCTAGCACAACTAAAACATGACACAACACATGAACGATCAGGCTAAAAAATTCAAATCCATAAAAAGGTTCCAAATAGAAACTCAGGTGATTAAAAATTCTATCAAAAGCATGGGCAACAGAAGTGAGCAACATGAGCACAGTTTCAGAGCTACAAGACCGGTCTATTGTTGGTGAATAATTAATCAGAAATACCTTAAAAACAACAAGAACATGAAAAATGGAACCAACAGCTTCTAGATGACACAAAGAAGACTAATTTAAGATTAACTGTACCTACTGTAAAATTAGGTGGCATAAATGACATAAAAAACTATTTACTAAAATAAAGCACAAAACATTCCAAATAAGGTGAAGAAATTTAACATATAGGTAAGTGACGCATATAGAACCCCAAGCACCCACAATAAGAAAAAAAAACTCTCCAGAAAACATCATAGTTAAAATCTCAGGAGACCAAGGAGAAAACACAATTTTACAAGCAATGAATCTCTTATAGAGTTAAACCCTTTACAATTTGTGCGATCTTCTCAATACAAACCTTTGGCCAAGAGGCCCTAAAAAGAGTGTTTCAGACCCTAAAAGAAATGAGTTTCCAATATAGTACCCAAAACATTGTCAAGAGCAATGAGGCAAGAAAAAGAAGTAAAAGAGACATACATAGGAAAGGAAGAAGTCAAATTACTATTTACAGATGAAGTAATTGCCTACGTAGATACCCCCCAAAGAAAATACCAAAAGATGCATAAAACTAACAAGCAAATTCAGCATTGCAGCAGGATACAAAGTCAACCCCCCAAATCCATAGCATTTCTGTACACTAATAATGAACCCACTAAGAAATTAGGAAAAGATGGCATTCACAAGAGCATCAAGAAAATAAATACCTAGGAATTAAATACCTAGGAGTTAACCTAACAAAGGAAGTTAAAAAAAAACTCTATAATAAAAACAAAAGTATTCTGAAAAAGGAAATCAAAGAGGACATCAGAAAATCAAAAGATATCCCTTGTTCCTGGATATTCTAAACAAATATAGTCAAAGTGACCTTACTTTCAACATTGATGAGCAGATTCAATCAAAATACCAACAGGATTCTTCACTGAACTGGAGACAAACCATTCTAAAATACATGAGGAATTGGGAAACCCACAAAACAGCAAAAGCAATCCTAGGTACCAAGGGCATAGGGAGAGGCATCACATTTTTAGATTTGAAGTTATATTAAACTGCAGTGATTAAAAAAAAAAGCAAAACAGCAGGGTTCTGGCACAAAAACAGACATGAGAAACAGAACAGAGGATGCAGAAACAATCCAAACACATTCACTACAATGTTTGATTTTTAACAAAGGAACAATGGGGTCAAAGACATACACTGGAGGAAAGATAGTTTCTTTAATAAATGGAGATGGGAAAACTGACTACCCACAGGCAGACTATGGAATATAGATCCACTCCTCTCACCATGTAATAAGTTAAAATCAAAATTGATCAGAGAACTAAATGTTAAAACAGAAATGTTTAACATGCTGTAAGATAAAATAGGCAAAACTCTTGAAGTCCAAGGGCAGGTGAGGACTTTCTGAACAAAACTCCAACTGTAGGTGAAAGAACAGCAAGAATGGGAAAATGGGATCATTTTAAATTAAAAAGCTTCTGCACACCAAAAGAAACAACCAAATAAACAACCATTATTAAAAAAATAACCTTCAGAATGGGAAAAACATCTTTCCAGCTGTTCCTTAAGCAGAAGACTACTATCGAGAATATATAAAGAAATCAAACCAGGTGAGGAGGTGCATGCTTGGGAGGTTGAGGCAGGAGCATCACAAGGAGTTCAAGGCCAGTATGGGCTACATACTGTAGAGAGTTCAAAGCCAACATAAAACACACAGCTAGACTCTTATCTCAAACACACATGCAAAAAAATAAATTAAAATAGACTCCCAAAATTAAAGGCCCTATCAAAAAAGGGCAAATAAAAAAAAAGGTGAATGAATTGAATATGCACTTCATTTGAAGATGTTCAAATGGCCAATCAACACAGAACAGCACCACAGGCCTTTAGAAAATTGCAAATTAAAACACCTCTCTGGGCTGGTGATTTAGCTCAGCAGCACCACTCCTGCCTTGCAAGCACAAGGTCCTGAGTTCGATACCAAAAAGGTAAATGATAAATAAAATTTAAAAGTAAATAATAAATAAAACAACACTGAGATTCTATCTTATCCCAGAAAGACTGGGCATCATCAGGAAATCAAAGAATAAGAAATGCTGGAGGGAGCACACTGGGGAGTGAGGGAGGTGACTTCTACATTTTTGCAAACTAGTGCAACCACTGTGGAAATCAATATAGAGATTTCTCAAAAACTTAAAATAGAAATTCCATTTGACCTATAAGTATCTTTCCAAAAGAGTTAAAGTATTCCAGTGTCACACGCATACCCATGCTACACTAGCACAACTCATAATGTTAAATCTTAGAAGCCCTCTATATGTCCATCAACAGATGAATGGATAAACGAAATGTGACATTTACACAGCATGCAGCATTACTCTGCCACAAAGAGAGATAAACTTGAGTCATTTGTAGGAAAATGGATGCCCCCAGAGTCCACAACATTAAATGAAATAGAGACACTCAAGCTTAAAAATCGAACGGTTTCTCTTACACAAGAAATCCAAGTAGGGATCTAGACCTTCCTTAAGTGAGAAGAGGACCAAAAGATGGAGGGATGGGGAGAAAAAGGAGAGAGAAAAGATTAAAGAAAAGGAATTAAAGTGTGTTATGTATGCACACCAACTGATTGCGAGGAATAAAAACATTATGTGCTACAGACACATACTAATAAAAATATTAATAAAATAATAAATAAACTTTCCCAATTTACTCCTAGCAATTCATCTTTGATAATAATCCTTGGCTTGAAAAATGACATTCCAAGAAGGAAAAAGAAAAGGAGGAAACACGGAGTTAGATTCACTAATTATATAAATACTTTTTGGAAAAGTGAAGTTATACGTACAATTCAAGTCCCCCAAAAGGAGATTAGTGTTTCTATCAATTTTTACCACCTATGTCAAAAGATTTTTATTGCCATTCCCTAGTAAATAACTGTATTTTCAATATTACTTCAATGTTTCAAAATCTGCATTTGTTTCCAATGAAAGCATGTATTATGGTAGAGAGACACATACAACTGTTTACATACAGGTTAGACCTTCTTATTATGTAAGTAAAATAAGAAGAAGTCATTACAGAAAGAAAGGACTCATGCAGAAAGAAATTACCAAAGGGTTGAATGAATAATAATTTAAGAAAAGTTAACTAAAAGTGGATAGAATGTCTAGAACCTTACATGTGCCTTTTTGCTCTTGGCCTCATTAAAATTCCTCTGCTGCTTTATACCTTGGGTCACAATGAGTTTTGAAGAGACTGGATCTAATGAATTTCCATAAAAGCGTTGAAAATTATGATATTTTTGCAAGTTTCTATGAAAATAAGGGTCATTAGAGTTTTCTGAAAAAGAGATTAAAAACATAAAAAGACTGTGTTTTTCATTGGCATTACCACTAACCCTTCACAACATCCCACACTAACACGCACTTTGCTTTCCAGTACGGAAAACTATTTTGACCTGATTATATTTCCTAAACAGGACATTTTAATTCAGACTATTTCCTGAGTATAGAACAATTTTGTATCTTACTTAAAGGAAAGAGGCAACAAAATTTTTTTCATGGCCCACTTCCAAAAGCAAAATTCGAGGTGCTACAAAAAATGACAGATTCTTCATTACTTCTGTCGTGTGCCCTAAAAATTAGGTTTAGAAGAAGGTACAGGCAGAACAAAAAAAGAAAATAATCTAAGCTGTTATGACCTCTTACATCACTGAGTAGAAAAAGTTCCTACTCTGAATGCAAAACACGATTTGGGCACCTTCAGAAAAACCCAAAGGCACGGGAAGGCCCAATGATTGAAGTTTGACTTATTCCCACACCCTCAAAAAACCCACAGTACTCACCTGCATGCCTAATTCCGCTGGCTTCTTTCTCTGCCTGAATCTAAACATATCAAACCAAACCACTTAGAAAGGCGTGACTCGCTAATTTGCCATAGGACCTCACATCCTGTAGGACTCTGACACATTGACATATGCCAGCTGATAAGAATTCCAAGGGCCTAGCTCTTATGGAGGCAGAGGTCATATTTGTGTGCTCCCAACTCTGAACCTGAACACCAACAAAGCAGGGGTTTTCTTTATTGTCATTCCTAAGGTCCATCAAGGAATCTTGTACACCATTCTTATTTGAAAACACTTAATTTCTGGCTGAAAATGCGATCATTTTTGTCTAAAAATAGAAGGCAGACAAGAAAATAGATTGAGTCTCAGATCTCACCGGCAAAGTTGCTCTTAGTCCGATCATAATCGTCACTAAGGGGTCTGTGAGAATGCCAGTGCACAAGTTCATCGAACTCCTTCTGTTTAACCAGCGACGTTACAATAGGGTCATCACTGTGAGTGAGAAAAGCATGTACACTTTTCACTGCATATACCTCCACATACAACACAGCACAGATTTCATTTAATAATAGTATCTTCCAAGTCAATATCTCCCTTCCTCCTTCTGGGATATAATGTGGATGATAGAACCCAAAGAACTGTTTTTTAAGAAGTCTAAACCATCTGTCATCTCTAACTGTCCTAACAACATCAGTAAAAATTCACTAATTAGAAATGTAACTGGGGTAGTTAAAATCATACAGACGTTTACACAGTTTACTCAAAGGGCATTGAAAGTTTGGACGTTAAATTCATTATGTATTACAAACATATATTACATTAATGTACTCTAATCTGCTGCATTTCAAAGAATCCTTAATAAACAACTCATTGATCCCATACAAGCACTATATTTAGGTATATTTTTAGCTCACTACCTCTTTAGAAAAGGTAAATCTTTCAAAATGTCTCCAACAAATTTATGGACCATTTGGGATGACATTGGAATAAAACCCAAATTAGGCATCTTTTCCTTGGAGTTGTCTGTAAACAAAACATTAAGATAAGGTCAAATGTAAACTTTTCATACAGGAATTGTATATATTCTTTTCTGAAACGTCACATTAAAAATGCTTTTCTTTACATTTATAAATCCTAGCCTTTCCCATAAAAATATTTCCAATATTTAAACATTTTGGAACACAGCAGAACATGAAGAAACACAATATTTAGGCTCAAAAGTGGGTAGATGTGTGGAAGGATTAATGAATAGAAACATATATACCTCTGCTTCTTATTTTCTAATGTTTATTTATTAGCAGGATTTAGTGATACATATCTATAATCCCAGAAGTCTAGGAGGCTCAGGCCTGAAAAAAAATCACAGGTTGAAGCCCAGTTTGGGCAACTTATCAATTTAGGAAGACCCTGTCTCAAAATAAAAATTTAAAACAGACTGAGGAGTAACTCAGTAAAAAAGCCCTCAGCTCCATCTCCCAGCACTGCAAAAAAATAAAATATCTTTATCTTTTATTATTCCCTATTGTGAAACAAGGAATTTTAAAATGGAAGTGTCACTCAGAAAGATGATACATACACACACATTCATGAAAAGGAAAAAGTAGGGAAAAATAAAAATGGCAAAGAAATTATTTGGTGCCATTACAGTACTCTCTTGGGTCCCCACACACACGATGGACAGAAGGATAGATAGAAAGTTGAAAGATAGATAGATAGATAGATAGATAGATAGATAGATAGATAGATAGACAGACAGACAGACAGATGATAGATAGGATGTGTCTGACAATACTGAAATGGACTAGCGAACGGGTTTTTACTCAATGTCTGGTTCACAACTCCAGGTAAACTTCTGTCTGCTGTCTGCTGTCCTGGTAGTGTTCACTGGGACTGTGTTTGTCCTGACATCTTCCTTTTGCAAGCCCCTCAAACTTTGCCTTACTCTTCTGCACACAGCCCATGTGAACCAGAGTAGAAATGTTAAGGACAACCCACGTCCAACACCACGATAGGAGTTGGATGCTAAATACCTCCGCTATCTTGCTTTTCAGGTAAGACACCTCAAGGCACCTGTACACCCAAGATTCTCAGAGAAATTTACCTGTAGCTGCCCACAGTGGAAACTTATTCATCAGTATGTCTACTTCCAGGTTTCATCTAACACTTCCTTACTGGATATTCTTTGAATCAATAAATTATTTGAATTCAATGGTATTTTTCTGATGGAACATATTTTGATAAAAGAAGAGAATATGTACGAGTATGTACGTTCTTCCTCCTGAATCTAAAAAGCATCTTTCTACCAACACACCCTGAGTTCCCCATAGCTTTCTTCTCATGTTTCTTCTGGATAATTTTCTTCTTCCTAAAGTTCTTCAAACAAGAATATTTGCAGTGGTTCAGTGTTGATGAGTAAATCAAGTTTTATTCATCTGAAGATATATTTTATACATTGCTCCATCTTAAATGATATGACTATATTAGAAATGAATCATATGTACTTCTATTGTAAAGTGACATTTACCATTATTAATGGGAAGTCTGTTGTTAGGTTAATTTTTGTTCCTTTGGATACATTTTTTTCTCTTAGCGTATTTATTAATTTCTGACATTCTTTAATTTGTCATATATTATCTAATATATGTTTTTGTTTGTGAGTGTACATTTGTTTAATCTATCACATTGGGATTTATAATATATCCTGACCATACAAATTCTTGTATTTTGTCATTGCAGGTAAATGCCTAGTCATTATTTCTTTCAAAGTTGCCCAACCCATGCTAGCTCATTCTCTCCTGAATCTCCAAAAATAATTAGGTAGATTTCTTCCTATCCTTCATATTAGTTAACATCACCGTGTGTCATCAAAGTTTTTATTGTATTCATTTAAGGCTTGGTATCCCTTTGAGATTAACTATAATTATATAAAAAGATCTTGAGTGCCTCAGTCATCTAGCATTTCAGGCACTACATCATCACCTCGTATTATTACCAATCTTATTTTTCTTCATTTCTTTGATTTTTGTACTGAGTGACTAAAATCTATACTCTTTCCAACTTAATAGTATACAGTGCAATGTTTAACATTTTAACTGCAGGCCTCATGTACACAGGAGCTGTCTGTGTTTATCGCTCTACACACCTGCAAATTTGTTACCCTTTGGCCTATATCTTCCCATCCTGCAACACGCCTGCCCACATCACAGGTAATGTTGTACTCTGTGTTCTTTGTTTGCATGGTTTTTTTTTCAGATTGCATCTTTTAGGGGCATCATGTAATATTTTTCTTTCCATGTCTCATTTATTTATCATAGCATAATGACTTTTACCATTGCTGAGCAATTCCTCCCATCTATTTAAACCTTGTAAATCCTTTTGCCAATATCCAATCCGCTTTCTATCCCATTCATTGACAATATTTTTATTTCTTTTTCTCATTTCATAATTTTGATTGTTTTTCAAAAGTTCATATATTGTTTAAATTTTGGTTTTGTTTTATTTTATGGGTACACTTCAGATATACATAATATTCATCATAGGGAACCTGTAGCTGTCTGTGATATATCTTTCTTCTCTTTTTTACTTCTTGGAGTTTGATTATTTTAAAATGTGAATGGTGTTTTTCAAGCTTCTAGTTATTGCCTCATTTTCAGAATTCACATTTAATTTTCTAAATATTTTAAAACACACATAATATATATGTAATAGTTATGATAACTATAATATATAAAATACTGTACTTAATAGTTCTACTACTATAGCTTACAATTCACTTTGACTTCTTTCCTCAATTTTTAATATTTATATTTGTATTCATATTTGAGAGAAAATTCCATAAAATAAGGATTTACAATGTGTTCCCCATAAGAACCTGCTAGATCCTTTATATTCCTTTAAGATAATTTTCTGGCTGAGTTGCTTTGACCTTAACAGTTTAAATTGAAACCCCCAAACTGTCGGAGTAACTGATTTTGTTCCAGGTACAGTGAGATTTGTTTGTCGCCTTCCTCTGCTCAAAAGCAGGTCCCGAGAGATCTAGCCTTTGAGGTTTGCTCAGAGAATCCCGGCTTTGTGTGGAGATGTCGGTTACAGAACCACCTCCCTCCTGGCCTTCTTTCTTGTCCCCTCCCAGGGAAGCTGGGATCAAGGACTCTGAACCCACTGACACAGCAAATGCTCCCAGGGCAGCAACAGCTTGGGCCCTTGACTTTCATGAAGGGCTGCTCCTTCTTCATTCCTTGGCCCCTGAGATGTTCAGTTGTTTACTTTTTCTTTATTTTTGATTTTATTTGCAAACAATCTCATTATGTTGCACAGTTTGCTTTCTGGCTCAGCCTCCTAAGTGCCAAGAATGAAGATTCACACCACTTGAATCAATTCAATGGTTAGGCTCCATGTTGACCATATGGGAAAATTTCATTCAGTTCTGGTCTAGTTCAGTTTGAGGCCAGGAAGCAGGAATGAATTAAGTTCATAAACTGAGATATCACTGTATATTTATGAATATGTATGCCAATATATGCATTGGTTGAAGGGAAAAACAATGGCAACAGCAAATATAAGCAAAAACATAAATCTTCAAATTATAATCACAGCACACCACTCCAAGAGTATGATCACCAGAATATCATTTGTAATTGAACATTGAATTAGTTGTGTTTTGAAAACATCTTCAGAGGAATAATGCTTTTATTTCAAATTAAATTACAAATCTATTACCTTTGATTGATGATGGATTCTTTTCAAGAAACTGAACTTTGGTTGTCCTCACAGGAAATGGTTTTCCTACTTCAAACTTTCTTACCAACTTGGATACAGTCTCCCAGAGATCTTCATAATCTTTCATAATGGCACTTCCCCAATTCAAATGTAGACCTACAAAACAATTAAAATACTTAGCATTAAAAGATATTTACACAGACACAGAAGCACACACTTTTTACTTAGTTCACAGAACTTTGAAATACATGTTACAAGGTGAAATTTTCACTGAGTCCCACAGTGGACTGAAAGGAAAATGGTAGACTTCAAAGTCAATCTTGTTTTGTTGTTTGATAACTAGAGAGTAAAATTGTAACTCTAATAATAACAGGGAATATTTTATTGTTGTTGTTTTTTAGGGGGGTACCAGGGATTGAACTTGGGTCCCTGCACTTGCAAAGCAACTGCCGGAACCACTGAGCTAAATCCCCTGCCTATTGTTGTCTAAGATAATAAAAATGTTACACCACATATAAACTTATGAATAATAAAACTGAATAAAAACTCATTTTTGAGAGTTGGAAAGTTAGTAAAGAATCATAAATTTACATACAGCCAATTCATTTTAATTCTTGACAATTAGGAAACATCAATGAAGCTTTTACAGCAGTTACACTTCTCTGAAATGTTGTTTTCTTCAACTATTAAGAAACATCAGAGAAGATAGTCTAAGGAAAAAAATTAGATAAAGCAAAACGAACTACACACCCATATACACATACATATGTGTACACACATACATATGCTTTACTTTTGTAAAAAATTAAAATTTCCTAAATAATAGGAGTAAATGGTTACATTAATGAGAGAGTTTTTATGTAGATGCATTCTGCAAGCACAAAAATAAAAATGAACTATTAAAATTATCTGGAAATATCAAATATGGAAACTTTTTTTCAAAAATACTATTGGAATAATATTAAGAAAATAGTTTTTGCAATACAATATTCATTCTAACTGCAACTAAGAAAAAATTACATATATACATGAACAAACTGGAAAAAAACAAAATAATTACTATATCTAAATATAGGAAAATTATTCTAAACATTTAAATATTTTATAGTACATGTATATATTAAAGTATAATTATTATTATATAGTAATGTCATACCTTTTACATTTTCATTTTCATAATAAAAAGTGATATTCTTCAACAAAGGCTCATCACTTAAATCAGAAAGATGAATTAAATTCAGATTCCAAAATTCCAAAACATTTATATTACATAGGATGAAATAGTCACACCACTTTTTCTGAAAAGTTGAAAATAAAACACAATTATTGACAATTTTCATGTTAGCAATAAAATATAGAGTTACTTTATGTATTTCTATATTCAAATCAAAGAGCAAATGAGCAGGGTCGCTCTAATTCTTATTAATATAATTCAGGGTAGATAATGTGAAGCTTTATTCTTTCACTATCACACAAAAAAAATAAAATCAAACTGAAGGAAAACATGAATTCAGTTAAAGTGTTATATCCTGAATCAGGAAAATCTGTAAATGACTCTAAATGAACTTTTTCCTCACACTGTGATCCTCAAAAGCAGTTTTAAAACTGCAGAAACACTTCTACTTTCAGGTGAACCTCTGTTCTTTACTTGGATGTAGATGTTCCAATTATACTTTCCGATCAAGTGATCATATTCTTTCTTTTTTTCCTATTGCATGTATTTTATTTCACACTTTTTCAACATAGTGAATTTTCCATATAAGAAAAACCATGCTATATTTAAGCTTATGTGTCTAAATTACTTCACTTAGCATTATGGTCTCAAGGTGCTCCAATTTCCTACAAATGACTCAAGTTTATCCTTCTTTATAGCACAATACAACTCCACTGTATGTAAATGCCACATTTTCCTTATCTATTCATAAATGAAATGTGCTATGTACATGTACCAATTCTCTAAAATGAATGAAATTATTACATACCACAAACATGTAATCATAAAATTTTAAAACTAAAGAATATTTTTTTAAAACGGAGACCATACTGAAAAAAACCTTTGATTGTCCAGAGATAGATAGAAAAGATGCTGAATCCTTCACACTCAAAGATCTCTATCCAGCTACACAAGTGTCCACACACACACACACACACACACACACATTTATGATTGGGAAGCCTTATTCCCACTGAGCAAAAGCAGAATGTCTTCACAACCTACACTCCAGTCAGAACAGAAAAGACAGGAGCAGGAGCCTAGTCAGGGTTCATTCTGTAATGCTGTCTGAGAAGTTAAAATGAGAGGAGACGGAGGCTTCTCTGCTGTAGCCTCACTTCATAACAAAACACAAGTGTTCTTCAGTTGTTAACAATATATGTATTGGTATTGATAGGAGTTTTAAACTGTCATGGTCCAAATGCAATAGTGTGAATGAGCTAGTTGTTATATTTAATTTGATAAATGTGGCATTTTTAAAGCTGAAATTAATTTTCAGATAATTTTTATAATTTATGATTATTTCAATTTGTGATAAATATAAATATATTAACAGAATGGGTCTTTAAATGCAGAAGGTCTTTAACTTTAGATTGTTTGTATGTTTTGTATGCTAAATTATTTTCTTTGAATGTATGGCACACCTCAATCCAAACTACTCACATTCCAAGAGCTCTGTGACCACTTGTGCCTGTTGCCGCCTGCATTTGAGGGACTGGCTCCAAACAGCTGAGTCAGAGAGGCTGCCCAAAGTTCATCACAAAGTTGTAAAAATCAAATAAGCAGGAACCTCTTAATTCTACTGTAGTTTTATCTACAAATGAGTCACTAAAGAGAGTGTCACAGAGTCATGGAATGGTTGTTCTTTAACTTCAGCATAGGTCTCAACTGGAAAGGTTGTTAAGTGAAACACAGATTCCTGGGCTTCTTATTCAGCAGGTCTGGGGTGAGGCCCAAGAATTTGAAATTCTAAGAGTTGCCACATTCTGTTGATACTGTTGTTCAGGAAATCACACTCTGAGAATCACTGTCATGTAGGATATTTTTCCTGAGTCCTTTCCCATCATACCACTGAGTAAAGAGTAACATAGGAAGGCAGGACAGCAACTGTGTCTCAGTTTCCTCACTGTACAAGAAGTGCCTCTCGTGCAGTCTCTGTGTGTCAGGGTTCAAAATAACCCTCCTGAAGCCACCCTTTCTATGATTTACTCAGTTACTAACCAGATCCTTTTTGGTGAAAATTTCAGGGGCTACCAGAAGTTACATTGCAAGCTACAGGATGTTTCCAGACATGAAGCATGAAGTAAGAGAAAGCCAAGACGGGTGGCTGTCTACGGAAAATCAGCTGCTCAGAGCGGAAGTCACAGTGCAACTTGGTTGTGCACGAGGTCTGCCACTAGAAACTAAGCCCGAGCTTTTCATTTGTAAACTGAGGGCATAACAGGACTATTGGTATTGCTAAATGAAGTATTCATAAAAGCAAGTACAGAATGAATAAATATCAGTTGTGCTTATTGTTTTGAATGCTATCCTACTTACAGACTAATGTTTCCAACCAGCATGAATAACAAGAACAATTCAAAATTTATAAAGACTTTTATAATGTTCTTTTATGTAATTCTTACACATTTTAAAAAGTTAGAAAACTTCATAAATTGCAATTGTATAAAGAGAAAATTCATTTAAATCTGTAAACAGAAATAACCAGTATTTGGTGGTTGAGTACATATTAATTCAACCTATAGAATGTTGAAAAAGAAAATTAAATATTATTGAGGAATAAAATTCACAACAAAAATCATAGCATAGTAATATTGATGCCATAATGCTTTATTTTAATATATGACATGCAGCAATAGGCTTTATATGTTAATCTGAAATGACATATTAAAATACCTAAAGTGAATTAAATAGATAGACATGAAGTCTTCCTATCCCTTTTTAATGCTGCCACCTATTGATGCCCTATCAAAATGCCTCCAGGAAATTTCCCCAGTGGGATTTGGAATAGAGGATAAATTTTCCCATCAAACCATCAATAGAACCTCTATAGTAGGGTGTTCACCACATTCAATATTTACTGCATCACAGAACTACTTAAACCTTTCATTAGAACAGTTAAAAGTGTTCACAAATACAGTCAGCTATTCAAGAATTATGGTTTTCTATACCTTACCTTTAACTGCCAGCCTTTCATGCCCATTGTGCTAATACAGTGAATACCATCTAAGCACTACCAAGCAAAACTGCCCACTCAATTCCATCTTAGTCACACTCAGATCACCTCACTTCGTCTCCAAACCTCCCGTGCCAGACGTTTTAACAGGGGCATTTACGCAAGTGGCATCCTCAATGCCATGAGAAAAGGGTGCCCACTGCTCAGTGCGCCTGTCTGCAGTCACAAATCACTACCCAGTATTCCGCACAACACATCCAGGTCCTTGAATGGAGAATGAATGTCACGGGTCATTTCCTTAGTCTCTCTCACCATCAGCATTTACCAGACTAAAGTAACAATCACTTAATTTCCACAAATCCTCTCTGTTTTCTCTGCAATACACCACCTTGTGGACCAGGGAGATTTTTAAAAGTTAAAGTGCAGTTCTTCTGCTTGAAACCATTCAATTTGCTCTCAGTATGCTTGTGATCATGCTATATTATAGATATGCTCTCCTAACAGGAGAATAGGATTCTACATGATTCGTCCCTTTTCCAGCTTCATTGATCCCCCATATTCTTTTCATTGAAAGATTCTCTTCCTTGGTCATGATTTAATCGGGAGAATCACGTGCACTATTTTTTTCTCTAAATCCAATTTAGATTCTTTTTCCATGCTGCTAACTCTTACTTAACCTTCAGGATTTCGGTCACTTCTAGAATTGAGAAAACAACAAACTCTGAATACTGGAATGAATTTTTTATTATTGGATTCTAATACTAATGTTGTTAATTTCTCCATCTTAGTAATTGTTAAAGTTTAATATCTGCCTTCTCTGTAAGATACAGCTCTATCCAAGTGTTAGGATGGGATAGGTAAGTGTGTCTCTTTCTCACTCTGTCCTCCAGATTACCAGAGTGTACACACACTAGGTAAGCAGGGACTGGCTCCCTAAATGATTTTTTTTGGGGGGGGTACTGAGAATCAAATTCAGAACCTTGCACTTGTGAAGCAGGCAATGGCACCACTGAGCTAAATCCCAGGCCGCCTAACTGATTTTTTTTTTCCAGCTTTAATTGAGTTTATTGGTACATTTTAGGGATACAGCACAGTTACATTCACTGTTGGGATCTTGTACCTCTACATGACTTTTTAAAAATGCCTTCCTAATGGACATTTTGATTATGTGTACCAAGATTCCTTTTTTTTTTCAAAAAGTCCATGTCAATTAGTTCACTTAATACTATTTTTTGATATTAAATCAAACATGATAACCTCAAATTAAGAGGAAAGGCTTGTATTTAAAAAAAATAAGAACATTTATAATACAATCAAATTTTTCTTTTTTATATTCCATGAAAGAGAAATGATATTTCCATTAAAAGATAGATAGTAGCCACTAAGAATGATGGTTTAAAAAATGTAGAATAAAATAGAAAAATACATGAAAAGAAAACATGTGTGTGTTTAATAACATGAGGAACAATGGAAAATCTAGGTATTTAGACCAAAGAAAATAAACTAAACAATTAACAGCTGCCAACAATGATTTGATTGGTGGACCTCTGGAAGTTTTTATTTGACTTTGCTTTCTATTTTCCTAAGTCTCCAAATTTGCACTCGCTATCATATATAATGTAACAACAATAATAAAACAATAATAAAATGTGACACTGATACTTCTTTAATGTCACCAAAGTTCTCCTATTGTTGACATAAAAACTTGAGCTTGACAGAGATTTAAAGAAAGAAAACTAAGTTTTTTTCCTTAGGTTATATATAAATCATGCTATTTGTTACCAACAAAGCTAGTTGTTGGAATTAGTCAACTGATTCATTGAGGTCACTGTTGCCATATCAATCTGTTTTGAAAGCTATCGTTGATTTTACACATCACACAGTTGAGTTTTACACATCACACGCTAAATCAGTAAAGATTATATTCACCATTTTAAAGAATATCTGAGTGTCTTCAGTCCAACTGGAAGTGATGAATCTAGAGCAAGCTCTCTGAGACAGAGGTACGTGTAGTAGAAAAACCACACTGAGACAATGCAGTTTGCACAGATCTTCCACATCCCGCAGGGTTAAGTAATCACTGTTCACCTAAATAAAATAGAGAAGATGAGCCAGGGAATAGCAGGCTATGAAACTGCATAACAAACATGCAGAACCGCAACAGCCGACAGCCGCACTTTGCCCTGTAGGGATTCTGAGATTTTCTTCATTACACATTTTTGCAACAGTGATTTTCAGCATGCATATCTGAGATGAAGAAAGGAAACATCCAGTGTAATACCACTTAAGATATTTCTCAGGATTTCTAGTGAAGCCAAACTTCACTTGAACTGATGAAACAGCTCAAGGAGTCACAATCCCAGAGGACTCCGCAATAGCAGATCCACAAGTTAAAGTTGTTATGTCCAAGGCACCACACCTGGAAACTGATCCTGGGCGGTTCTGAAGGAGAACACGTAATGGCAATGTATCCGAAAATCATGCCTGCCAATGACAAAGGGAGTAAAGAAGTGGATATATTTAACAAAGTGGGTGATATAAATTCTAGCTTCTTTAGCATACACAAGGCCCTAAACTCAATCTCCAGTACTGCAAAGAAGAAAATAATAAAATAAAATAAATTTTAGTGATTTTTCCCATTGTTGAAATTATAAGTAAGGGTAAACCCTGAGTATCGAATGGAGAAAATGATAGATGAAAGTTAATAAAACAAGGAAAGTGGAGAGCAATAGTGTTTTAAAATGAAGTCATGATAGTTACACCGTTTTGTTATCAGTTGTCTCTTCAGAGGGGGTCTTTCTTCTGTTTTCTAAGAAGCGATGGTACATTCCCAAAGCCAGTGAGCATGAAGTGACACAAATGACACGTCGAATGTCAGATCCTTTTGGCCAGACTTGTTGGAGCAGAGATACAGTTTCATATGCCTGTTACATAAGAAAATTGTAGCACAATTTATTAGTATTTAGAAAAAGAGTTTTAGCCTGGTGTAATGGCACACGCCTGTGATCCCAGCACTCGGGAGGCTGAGGCAGGAGTATCACTGTGAGTTCGAGACCAGCCTAGGCTACATAGTGAGTTCCGGGTCAGTCTCAACTACATCGTGAGACCCTGTCTCAAAAAAACAGAAACAAAAAACAAAAAAGAAAAAAAAAGTGTTTTTATTCATAAATGATCTCCTCCTGAAAAGATGAACATATAAGACATCAAATTATAATCAATCAATGAAACCCTGAAAAATGTAAATAGCTAAAGAGCTTATATAAATCAATAAGAAAATGCTCAAAATTTAAATAACACTATAATGCTCTAAAATGCAAATATTAGTAAAATACAAAAGTGTTTAAGCTTTTCAATAATTATTTTCAATATTAGCATATTTTGACTTTCAAATTATTTTGATAATTCACAGCATTGAGAAACATGTATTGTATCATTTCTTTTATATGTTGCTAATCCAAAGATAAATAGATACAGACTTTGCAGAGACATGAAAAAAGAGCCAGAACAAAATAAGCCTCCCAAAATAAGCACATAGTTTAAAAAGCATCAGGATAAAAGTGGGAGGGATCCAAAATGAAATACAAACACTTACCAAGAGCCTAACTATGACAACAGTAACGTAGTCACACAGAAGGAGATGGGTGAGAAAAAAACTAAGGTGCATACCTTCAAAAACATTATAGGAGTCATTGTTAATTGGATCTTGGAAGCAAGACAAAGAACACCAAAACTGAGAAGTTTGAAATGCATCATTTTACGTAGAAAGGGTGGGGAGTTGTGGAGCAGTCAACTCTGACAAGTTCTGTCTTGCACAGTGGGAACCAAACAGTGAGTACCAGGACAAAATTTTCATCAAAGACCAAATTCACTGAGTTTCAGAGCAATTGAGTACTGAGGTATGACTATGTTGAATATTAAAACACTACATAGAAAAGATACAAAAATAGTATAATTGACTCAGTCAATATATTTCTCATGGCATAAATTTAGAAATTAAAACTGCTTGATATCCATAGTGCAGTTGAACAAACAGGTAAATAGATTACCGTGAAGTAAAGCAAGTTTTCTCATAAGTGCACAAAGAAATGGCAAGCAGGAGGCTAGAGTGAAGCCAGAAGTTGAACTGGAGTAAAAGGGAATAAAATGAACACATGATATCTGGTACAGATTGTTAAGAAGGTGACTGGTAATTTGTAGGTTGGTAGAAAGATAATTAAAAATATAGACATGCGCTTACAGAGGAGTTCGTATGCAGATATTTCCTAGCTTGATCACTGAGAAGTCATAATGACACCCTGGTACCTATGAGCAAACATAGTTCCCATATCTGGACTTCTCAATGCTACGGGGGAAACAACAACAACAAAAAAAACAGCAACCAGAACTCTTTGGAAAAGTGATAATTTCAGAGCTCAGGCGGGAAAGCGCAAGATAAGACCAAAACATCCTGGGATTTCAAAAAGTAAGGAAGTGCTTTAAAAAAAAAAAAAAAAGAGGCTGGTAGAACACAAGTACCAACATAAAGGAATCTTTAAGACTCCAACCTGGAACATTATGAGGAACAAAATTATTATAATACTGGATGTTAGCTTATAAATCAAATGTTCATTAGTCCATACTGGCATAAATAAGTAAATAAATGGCAAAACTAAAACAGCTCCTTTTTATGGTAGATTTCTGTTTAATATATGAGAAATAAAGAGTTAAACAGAAGGTCATCATTAGGCAAAAACTTTAATAGCAACTATTGCAGACAAGATACACTGATGAATGCTAAAATTACTTAGCAAAGCCTTAAGAATAAATGAAATTTGTATAGTCACAAAGTGTCTCCCCCAATATACTTATTTATTGACAGGGAAGATAATAAATTTATAAGGAAGGAAGTGCTCAAAGACCCAGCCTGACCAGAGTGAAGAGAACCCTTTGCTACCATGCATCATTAACCCTTTGCTACAATGCACAGAGCATGCAGAATTAATTCAATGACATTCTTGTTAAAAATCCATAACCTCCATTCTGATCAGTACAGAACATCAGACCAGCCCAAAGTGAAGTACATTTTTTTACATAAGTATCAATATGCTTCAAAAAGTTAAGGTCATGAATGACAAGGAAAGACAGAACTATTTCAAACTGGAAGAAACTACTCCCCCCCTGAAAAGGACATTAATGGAAAAATAACTGAAACTCAAATAAGATGAGAGATGGAGTTAAGAGCACCACACCAATGGTAATTTTCTGGTTTTAATAATGCATCATGGTTACACAGGAAATTAACATCAGAGGAAACTCAGAAAGAAGTAATAGGAACCATAGCCTATTTTTGAAACTTTTCTGTAATTAAAAAATATCCAACAAAAGGGTTCATTTTAATGTGCATTACCTCTTCCATCATATGTTTCAATGCAAAGTTTTTAAAAAGAGGTGCTAAAGGTAGAACTCTGTATTTTCTCAATTTTCTAAGGAGCTTTTTATAAGCAATTTGAATCTCATTTTCATTCTGTAAAAAGAAAAGACAAAAAGTCAGGAAAATTAAAATGTAAGTGTTTTCCAAGTATAGAAAAGCAAACACAATGTCATTGGCATAATATATCCCTATATTTTAAAAATTAAGCTAATGTAATCGCAAATATTCAGCATTTTTTTAAAGCCTGCCAGATATCTATTTTATCTCTGCTAGGTATATAGTGAGTCTTTTAACAGTTTCATAAAGGTATAAATAAAATAATACAAAATTCATTTATTTTAAATGTATAATTCAATGGCTTTTAGTAAATTCATCAAGTTGTATAACCATCATCGCAACCTAATTCTACAGCATTGCAACTCTCCCTCAAAAGCAATATACTGTACTATGATTAATTTCAAATCTATTCATTAATAGCATAAAATCCCCAGCAAGTATCAACATCTTTACTTGTTTTCAAGTAGTACTCAAACTGATTAATAAAATGTACCTCACCGCATTTTAATTTTATTTCAGATAGTCCTCAAATGGATTAAGCCCTTTTTAAAGTAAATGATCAACTAAATCGGAAATACATTATTGTACCAGAAATGAAACCCTCCACTTAAGAAAAATTATTCTTTAGGAGGAATTGGACCGGATGTTTGTATGGCACTCTTAAAACTGAGATCCAAAAGTTGACCTAGCTTAGTAAAATGAACTCAGTGATAATAATAATTCTTCCCAATATACAATGAATCCCAAAGCTAATCCTTCTTACAGCAGGCAAGCAGAGTGAGAAATAATTTCTTAAGATCAATACTATCTAAAACAAAGTGAACTACTATTTTATTTCATAACAATCACCTGCATGTCTCTAAATATACTAAGGGTATGGTACAATTCTTAAGGACTGACAAGTGCCAATTGACCCAAAAACTATTTTGATAAAATGTAGAATAATATTAATATTCAGAATTCACTACAAGTATTGAAAATAAATGGAACGTAAAGTTGTTTATGAAGGAGATATGCATTTTTCTACTTCAAAAATTTCAATACAGTTGGCGAATATACCAATACAGCAAATAATAGGGGCATGGAATTAGATTTCTAAAAACTTCAAAAATTATCCTGCTATTAATTTAGTTACTATTAAGAAAGAAACATCTCAGTTCTCTTCCTTCCTCATTGACCTGCTCCACTGTGCTCTTTACTGAAGGACCCCACGGTGAGCTCAGTGCACAGCTGTATCTCAGCAACAGAGACGTAACTCTTGTCTCCGTGTTAATGCATCTCTGGCCTACAGTAAATTGGAGTCAGTATACCACACAGTGGTTAAGAATGAAGGGGCTGGGCGGGGGATTTAGCTCCGTCGTTCCACTGCCTTCCTCATAAGCACAAGGTCCTGAGTTCGATCCTTGGTACTGGAGTAAAAAAAAAAAAAAAAAAGCATGTAGGGGCTGGAGCTGCACTGTGTCTTTTCAGATCCATGTTCTAGTGCCCACTTGGTATTGGCGATCAGCAGACTATTTATTCAAATATCTATTTCCTCACTGGTAAAATTTAGGTGATACTAATATTGGCCCTATGGTATTACAGTGAAGATAAAACAAAAATCATTCAAGAGAAACATCACTGTTCTGTAATAATAAATATTAAATAAATAGTACATTTTCATTTTTGTTATTATATATTACAGTTTTTGTTATTATCAATTTCTCTATCCTGTTAAACTTCAATAATTCTCATATAAAAAGTCAAAACAAAGTGAGTTATTTAAAGTATTTTATAAAATTGTAAAAGAATATTGTCTTTCAGATATAAATTACCTCCTTGAAAAAGTTCTGGTTCCTGTATAGACTTGGCAGAAAGTATGCATAAAGTCGAAGAATATCAGATGTTTGCCCAGAGAAAAGCACAACATTGACTCTCATAGACCAACACTGAATGATTAAAAGGTTGAAAATTTGGGTTTGCAGAGGGTTCAGGCCTTCATCTGCAACTATCAGGAAATACGGGTAATTCTGATCCAAGAACATTTTCCACTCCTTTGATAAGCATCCAGTAAATTGAGTACAAACATTAATGCAGGTATTTTTCTGAAGATGAAGAATTAAAGCAGTTCTCAAAGGAAGAAGTTCAGGAGAGCTGAAATATGTGTACTCAGCATCCTGTGAAGAGGACATGGAAAACTTACTTTGCAAGTTTCATTTAGCATTTCCCTAGTTTACTTGGCAAAGACAACATTAAAGAATTAGAGGAACATGACTCAACACAGCTTTGCTGTGTCATATAGCAAGGAATACACCTTTAAACTTTGACCACCATTTTACAAATATTTTATATAAATCACAAGTTTGGTTTAAAAACACTTATCCCCTGTCTGCAAACATATAACATTAGGACTTTACCATACTTTCCCTTCCCACTCACTAATTATTTTCCTCTCTAAGATCATTCCCAAAAGAAAATGGACAGAAAGTGTGTAAGTATAAATCATCCCTTCTGGGGAGCAGAGGTGGAGCATTGTTCTAGAGGACCTGCTCCAGGTCAGGAATTCCTTCCTTCAGCTGTGCAGATTTATCTCAGAGCAGTGAAGTAGCGTGTGGAGCTAGCTGGATTGTAAACATCAGGCCAGAAAGCTGGCTGCTTTTTCAAAACATTGCTGGCAAGCTGTCACATTATAACAATAATGTGGAATGCAAAATGATTAAATATCATTAAATATCACAACAAAATCTTTGAATAGTGTATTAGTTACCTTTCAGAGTAAGATTAGGAAAGAGTAGTAGGGGTTATGTATCCATATTTGAAATCTTTGAAATTTTCTTAATTATATTCATAAGAAAACCAAATGTGGTGTTCTCTTGCAGATATTTACTGCTGAGCAAGAAAATGCAAAGCAGGGGTATCAAGTTTGCCTGTACCCAAATATATTTTACTTTGTGCTCAAGCAAATTTACTGTTGAGTTTTAAAGACAGAATTAGTTCTCACAGTTGAAGAACTAGAAGTCAGAGGACAATTTGGCCCCTACTGAAATGTTTCGTGCATTAGCGTAATTAAGGATATCCTTACAATAAAATTCTTTTATTGAAAATAAAAAGCAATAATGAACTGGTATGGTCATTGCTGAATACTGTAAATTCAGGTAATTTTTTTTTCTCTTTTCCCTTCAAAATGACTGAATTTTTCAAGATATAGTTTACTTAGGAGTAATGGAAATCTACTTACAAAACAGTTTAATGAACTTTGTTTTAGTTCTAAAATCACAGAAGCAAACTCAACTGTCGTGTTACCTGGAAGAAAATTATGGTAAATTGCCCTCCTTTATTAAAAAGATCCATGAGATAGCGTTCAACCAGGTAGAAGAAATGGAGACTCTGTCCAGGCTCTAATAATTTCTCACATATACATGTGATAAGTAATGAATCCCCATCAATGAGAAAAAATTCAGACTCAACAAAATCATTGAATAAACTGGAATATCTAAAACAAAAATAGAGTTAAAATGTATCATGTAAATAAAATAATGTTCAAAAAAGCAGTAACATTATTCTTATCATTTCAACATTACCATTAATAACTGTATTTGCTGAATAAATATAATTATATTTAGAGAGATTAATATAATGTATATAGTATACATGTTTATAACATATAATGTCTACATTCATTGAGGTTACTAGGTTCCTGTACATGGTGTATTCTGGAAGTTCTTTCTGAGTATCTGTAATTGTGCTGTTGTAGCTACCTCAAAATAATATATACATATATATATATATATATAATATTATATATTATATATATATTCACACTGAGATGAAAGATAGATAAGCACAAGGTCAAATAGATACACATAAAAACAGAAATGTATTATCTCCTAGCTGCTTATTATACTACAAAAATACTCACTCGGCTGTTGGCAATTTGTCTGAAATAAACCGGGAAATTTTCTCGAAAATCTGTGGGCATTTACCTTAAAAAAGAAAGAAAAATAGATTATTTATTGTCAATTGTTTTTAAGTGAACTCAGATTTAATTATTTGAAAAATAAGAAATAGTAATATTATTTTAGTTCCATTAAATATACATGTTATATTTTATAATTCTTTAAATACTTTAAATTGAAAATTACTCGTTCTTGGTGCCATTTCTGCCTCCAGTAGAAACTGGGGATTATTACATACAGCAGATATCCTTTAGTCTGGTTGCTCTAAATGGCAGTTAGTAATGAAAATGGCAGACCTGCAAAGAAAGTGGAAAAATAAGAAATTAAGTACTGAATGATTTTCTGGTGCCAAGAAAATCTGAGGCAAGAAAGAACATAGTCAACATGCACTTGATTCTCAACAAGTTGCAAGTCTATCAAATCACAAAATTATATAAACAGTGGGAAATAACAAACAAAAAATTCAAAGGTGTCAGAGGAAACTTTCCTAAAGTAACACTCTAGAGATGGATTCCAAAGACGTGAACAAGAATTAGGCAAAAGTAGGGAAAGTAGTATTCCCAGTAAAGGGAACATCAGAACATCACATGTACAAGCCCTGTGGCATGAGGGATGTGGATGGAATTAGGGTCTTGAAGCCAACAGAGCTGGGATAGAGAAAGTGAAAGGGCGAGGGGTACTAGAGACAAATACTAGAGCATGAAGAGCCTCTGTGGGCACCTTACAGAACGTTCTCTCCATCCTAGAATTAAAAAGTAGCCACTGATGGGTTTTAAGCAGGTGATGGTCTGATGTGGAGCAAAGTTTTGGTCAATAGATCAGAGAAAAAGCTAATATTCAGATGGGTAACGATGGTACAGTAGTTTGATGCAATTTCATGGGTGTTTGAGCCAACAAAGCTGGAGAGATGTGGATTTCTCTGACGTACATTAGAAAGGAGAATTTGAGATGATTTGGTAATGGATCAGATATGGATAAAGAGAGAAAAGGACAGCTGTCAAAAATGACTCATAGGATTCTTTCTCTTGCAACACGAGGGCTGACTAATCCACTCCAGGGCTGGGGACCATGAAATGAGAATCAAGTAAGGCCACGAAGATGAGTTCATTTTTGGACAACCCAAAACTTACAGTTTGCCATGTTGTAGAAGCGCTGAAATATTAGATTTGAACATAGGAGTAATCTGAGTGTTAGTAATAAAGAATGCCACTGGTACAGATGAGCTTCCTTGGACAGCAAGAGAGAGAGCATCATGGAAAAATGGAAAGAGACAAAATTCAATTTTTAAGATTAGTAATATTTAATAAATGTCACCAGAGGAAAGAAAGAATCTGATAAAAAAAAAAACAGAGAAAGAACTAAAGAGGCAGAAGAAAAATTCCCTTGAGTATTTTGTCATGAAAACAAACATTGAGATATTTGCCATACAATCTATTAGGGCTGTTAAACAATAGGATGGATAGATGAAAGATAGGTAAATGGATAGATAGTTTTATTCCATAACTTTAAAGTACAAGAAGATATAATATTGATGTACATTTCAAAATCCAAATGATAAGGGAATAAAGTGTATGACTGCAAAAATTAGTACACTTGAAGAACACAGAAATTGCTGTGGGCTGGAATGTTTAGGAAACAACGGAGAAAGGCATGTAACGTGATTTTCCACTCACATGGTTTTATTGAGTTTTGCAAAGATTTATAAAGCATCTGCTCTTCACCAAATTGTATTTGCTGCAACATGGGTAAGAATGTATGAAACATGGTCCTCACACCTAGTGGGGCATTAAAGAGTATAAAACAAAACACTGCAGTATAATGTGCTGATTGTTCCAGTATTAATAGCATAGGAAACCAACATGGGATGAGGAATTCTTCAGTTGAATTGGAGGGATCACAGTCCTATGTTCTGAGGTTTCGAGGAGAACCTGGAAAGGTGATGAAGAATGATGGAATCACATTGGAGAATACAAGAGATTTATAAGATGGTATTCTGGGTAGCACAAAAAAAAACCAGCATCACTTAATTTGCAGAGATGTAGAAGTTTATGAGCAGTGTGACATTCTGCAGTCATTCTACAAAGGAAAACAAGTGACTGGCAAGAGAGGAAGTTGGCAAGACTATGATGGATCAAATTTTGAAGGTCCTCTGCCCAGATAAGGAGTTGAAACATTTTCCTGAAAACCCACAGATTTCAAGCAATTCCCAACTTCACTGATTGCACAGTAGCTGTCCTATCTTCTTTCACATCTAGACATTGACCCAGTTTAAGCAGGAAAGAAAAGTTAGTGAGAACTGAAGAAACAAGAGAAAATTAACCTTAGCTATGTTGGAGAGGTAAAGAGAGTTTCAGAAGAGAGAGTATCACAAGGGGAAATAAATTCATTCATAGCTTGCCAGGCATTCATAGCACTTTTAATATTATCATGAAACTACTAGAATAAACCAATATCTAATTAATTCATCTATTAAGCAGTTCACTTTGAATAAATTTCTAAGTAATAATATCCTAACAACTCCCTCCCTCCACCTCTAAATCCTTTTCCCCCTCTTCATTCTTGTTCTTAGCTCATGCTTATGACATATGATGTGTACATTCACTGAGGTGATTAGGTTCCTGTACATGGCATATTCTGGAAGTTCTTTCTGAGTATCTGTAGTTGTGCTGTTGTAGCTGCCCCGATGACCTGAATCAATTTGTCTTTCAAGATTATCTTTGCTTTTGGGAAGAGTCAGAAGCCACACGGTACCAGATCTTTTGAGTAATGCAGATGAAGACACACTGTAAGGTTTTTACCAGCCTACCTTTCTGCTGGAGAGCAGTTAGCAACAGCATTCACTATGTTTTTTTGTCACATCTTATGAAGTTACTCATGAAAGGGGATTTCTAGAACTGCTTCAGAAAGGGGTAAGAACGATGAGCTAAGTGTGTTGAAGTGAGAGAGAGCATTCTGAAAGGTATCCATGAACATGAGTATTTGACTGTGATTTTTTAAAATCTAATGTTCACTGTGTATTTTGGTGACACATCATAGTTCAGTAATATAAAGATCAGGCCAGAAACAAAGAAAACACATTCTTAGATTCCAGAATTTCTCCAAATACTGAGCAGAAATGACATAAAAGGAAACCACACTTGCAAAAGTTGCAGAGCTCTAAGAATAAAGACATAAATGTAGGTGGCTATGAGGAAATGAAAGCGTTATACTCTTGAGGTCTGTGAAGAGGACGACAGCACGAACACTACTCGTAGACTGTGTGAGTTGTAGACCCAGTTCTCAGACATAAAACACAGTTCTTGTAAACACATTGTTTACTTTCTCTGCCCCTCAATTTACTCATCTATAAAATAAGGCAATCATGTTACTCTCTTGTGGTTGTGCTTCCACATTATTAAAATGCATGAACTGATTTATACAAGCTGCTTAATATATTGCTGGGCATATGATCCCAAAAATTAAAATAAGCAATACTATTACATTTTAATAAAAGAAAATAACATTTTCCGCTTTCTAAGGGAAAGCTATCTTGAAACCAGATTTCTGCATCCAAACAATCATACAATTTCTGGAGAAGGCAATAGCACATAGTAGATGTGAAGCTAGAAATACCACCAGCCATATATCATAAATGATCATTTTGTTTAAAGACAGCACAGAAAATGTTTGTGAGGGGGAACAAGGACAATAAAATATCAGTGAGCCTACTTTTGATTCAGAAAATTAGAGATATAAGGAAAAATAACAAAGTCCATGATGCTTTGAATTCAAAAAGTCTATTTCAAACAGTGTCACTGATCTAGAACTACTTTTCCTAGTCAAACACATAGATTGCTTCTACGATGAATAATGTGTACATAATCATGGTTTTTATAACTGTTGTTTTCCGGGTTTCCACTTTTCATGCAACCTAGCAACAAGTAATAATAACTAATGTTACAAAATAATAGAAAACATGATAGATCTTGATGATATAAAATCATAATGATATCAAATAATAATGCGGAATTGAGAAACTTTGAAAAGGAATAATAGGAAAAAAAAAAACAAGAACAATGCATGTTAATTTCCTCATCTTTCCCAGCGGGAAATTCAGAGTATCATCTAGACATAGTGTCAGAAAATAATATCTGGAATCAAAAGTTACCCTACTTATTGCACCACTGTGCTACCTCGGCGTGGGATTGTTTCCGGAAGTGACACAACGACCACATAGAGAAGAAATGACGGAGCGCCACCGTGCTACAACGCCTAGTGTGCTAACAGATACTGGTTTGTCTGGGTGACAGAACAGAACAACAAAAAATAGAGACAAGTGCCTATTTGCATGACCAGGGTTGTACTGCAGCCCACCATCAAAAGAAATTAAAACTGAATTGGATTAAAATTGCAGCTGTGATGACTAATTTATAAAACATAATAGAGATTGGAGAAACATTCAGTGCATGACACCACAAGAACTAGGCGAATCTCTTCAGGACACACAGATTCATTTTAACAAATAAATGGTAAGAAGGCAAAACACTAAAAGAAACTTGAAAGCCTAACATCTAATTAGAGAATCGTCAGAACTGTGTTTGGAATCTGACTCAAGCAATCTTTGAAAAATCAGAAAAGAAGGACGAGAAGCAAAAAGAGGGAGGAAGGGACTAGAAGGCAAATCATGCAAGAGAAAGAGATGGTGCATGAACCAAGGTGTTGATTAATGAAAACCTCTGAGGGGAAACGCTGGACATTCTGAGATGGTCTCCACTGCTCCACATCCTTGGTGTGCAGGCCTTCTCCTCTCTTCTGGTTGAGAAGTGCAGCAGTTTAATGGGACAGCACCTCAGGGACTCGGCTACAGTGTCAGACACTTCATGGTAGACAGAGGGCTCTGAAGGCACAGCCATCTTGTGAGACAGCCAAGGGCAGGGACCGAATGGGATGTAGAGGCAGAGAGTAACCCTCAGCCAGAAGGGAGCAAGAGAACAGGGAGCCGGTGTCCTCTGGCTGCAAGGACCTGACTTGTTCTAAAAGCTTTCATTAGCACCGGGGCTGGGAGGAGAGCGTTGGCCCTGCAGACAGTTTGAGTTCAGCCAGGTGAGATTCTCAGCAAGAGGACTCAGTTCCCCTGGGCAGGATCTTCTGATCCATGGAATTTGAAAATAATTAATGGGCATTGCTTTAGGCCACTAAATTTGTGATAATTGGTTATGCACAATAGGAAAATAACACCTGCCCCCTGTGCGTGAATAGGAGAGTGAGACATAAATTGCCTTAAGCAGCTAAAATTTAAGAACGCTCAGGAATCCCGCTGGATATCTTTCTAAAATGCAGGCTCCCATTCTGCAAGTGTTAGGCGTCCTTCTGCTGTCAGTTCCGAAATCATAGCCTGTGCTCAGGTCTGAGGTCCCTTACTCCTCAACAGCCCAGCGTCCTTTTGCAGAGGACCCCTCCAGCGTCTGAACAAGCAGGTCCGACCCTAAGCTTCCTGCGCTCACCACCGGTATAGCTGCTCGGCCTCTGCCCAGCGCCCTTGCACCCACCCGCCTCAGCCTCCTGGGGCGCAGCTCCTCTCGGACTCAGCTAGTCCCGCGGGCCCCGGCTCGAGCCGAGTACTGCTCGGTCCTCTCCATTCGGACGTGCAAGGAAACCTCGGACGCCCACCGCACAGCTGTGCTCCGCCCCTACCTCGCCTGGACACCCCAAGCACCTCGCTGGCCCTGAAGCAACACCCACCCCCTCCTCACCAGAACCCAGCACCGAACCTGCTACGTGCAAAGAGCCGCTGAGCCGCGCTCCCAACTGAGGAAAAAAGTAGAGGAGCCCGGACCGGCGCGAGCTCCTGTGTCTACCGAGCCCCAGGACAGGGAGCACTGGGCGCGTCTGAGCATCACAGCCAGTCCTTTATACCCAAGGCATCGGTTTCAGTTTCCTTTCTCCTCCAAGGAAACATTCAGTTTCTGTTTCCTTTCGTCGTGAATTGGACGAGAAGGTTTTGGGCAAAGTGACTTTTAGTTTTTCTCTTCAGTCGGTGTTTTAAAGTAGAAAAAGCAGAGGCAATAAAAAGTCCAATGTTTGAAATAATCTAGAGGGAACTGAGGCTGAGACATTTGGGGACATCTGTAAAGGAATCTGACCGTAGCCACCCTGATCAGAGAGACCTCTAAACCTCCCCCTAGGGCACGGCTGCCCCCAGGACTCCTCTGACAATATCAGCTCTGCTGTTGATAGCAGCCACTCCTCCCAGAGCTTTCCCGGGCCTGGTCCTTGAACAACCTTTACTGCTGTGCTCTCTCAGACCACCACCCCTTTCACTGAACTCCTCCCTCCCCACGACCCTACCAGAGTCCAGCACCAGAGAGATCCCTCGGTACTGTTCTGAAATAAACCTGTCCTGTTGAGCTCATACCTCTGTTTCTTCTTTTCCTTTTCAAACAAAGAAGCCAGAAATAGCTGAATTATAACACTGAGAAACGTGAACGCCCTACCCCTGGTGACAGAGAAGCTGATGATCATTGATCCGTGTAAACTTGGGAATTTTCATAGGCCAAGAAATGACTTTTACAAATTATGCTGAGGCCAAGTGGGCATGATGGCACCGTCCTTAGTTCCAGGCACTCTGAGAGGCTGAGGCAGGAGAATGTAAGTCAAGATCAGCCTGGGCAACAAGGAAGAAGAAGAAAAAAAAAATTAAAATGAAATGTAACTTGCTTCCTTTTGTTTCTGCCTTGATGCTATTTTCACTTGATTTTTACCTGCTTATGGTTGCAATTCAAGATTCAACACTAGTCCCCTTTCTTTTTAGTGGCTTAATGTGCTTAGTTTACGAACTGCTATAAATACAAATATAGTGGAATTCTAGGAAGGGTTGGGAAAATAGAGCAGTGAATTTTGATGATCAGGGTGACAACAATGGAAAGCCAGAAGCTTCTCTGTCTGCAAGAAGACAGCAGAGCCACAGCCCCTGTTCCAGACGGTGTAGTTTTGAGCTATAAAAAGTCAACCTGATCAAGAAAAAGGATGGGAAAGAAGGGTATTTTTCACATCCATTAGTCGCTTCTTTATTTACTTGTTTATTTGGAAATTTGTCATTTTTTGCTAATGATAATATTGAGAAAGAAAATAAAAACACGTGGAGTTGAACATATGACTCCCATAAATCCTCCTGTATTTACCTCCATTTTTTATGACCCTCTCTCATGGGGTATGGTAGGTTCAATAGCACCCTTGCCTCTAACAGAAGTCAATGCCCTAAATCCCTATGAGTATTTCGCAGCAGCAGGTGCTCTGCAGAATAAGATAAGTTAAAGACATTGAGATGTAGGGGTTGGCCTGTCTTATCTACACAGGAATCACTGGGTCCTAAGGTGGGGAGGGTGAGAGTCACAAAAGCAAAGTGTTGACAGGAGTAGAGTACAGGGTGAAGAGGGAAGCGAGGTGGAACCACAGGCCAGGGAATCAGATGGTCTCTGGAAGCTGGCAAGGCTGTGGGAACCCGCTCTTCCAGAACATCTGGAAGCCAGCTCAGATGACACCTTGACTTCAGCCCAGAGAATCTGACCCTCAAAACTCTAAGCATAAATTTGTGTTGAAAAAGTCACTAAGTCTGAGTTCATTTGTCACAGCAGCCATAAAAACACAAACACATTATGGAAAGCTAATGTACATAGTAGGAAACTAATGACATATTTGATAGCAAAGATAATGAATTGCTTTATAACAAGATGTAGCATTGATTTGAGAGACCACAGTATGCTAAGCAATATGCAAATATCATTCCATTTATTATCATGTGATCCTCACAACTGTTTCATTAGCTATTACTATCATTTTTGTCATTTTATGGATGAGATTTAGTAAGAACCAAAGGGATAATGCAGCTAATAAATGACACCAAGATTCAAAAGCTGGCCTCACACACAGGTAAGCTGCAATTTCCTACATTATATAATCTCTGACACATGCTTCAAAGTCTACATCTGAAAGCCGTTCAGTGAATGGACAAATGATTTTCTTTGCTTTCCTTTTCGCTTAAATTGTTGCTTTTTAGTACATATAATATTCTATTACTGTTTTGACTTTTAAAGTCTTCACATTTATCAGGTAAGAGTGCAATCAACCTTGATGTGTCCTCCTTAATTTCTCATCCTACCTTACTATAACAGAATACCACAGTAATTTATTTAAAAATATTTTTCACAGCTTTGGAGTCTGAGAAGTCTAGTCTCAAGGTGCCAGAATCCAGCAAAAAGATCTTCGTGCTGTATCATTCTATAGTGGAATCGTGAGAGAAACAAAAGCAAAGAGACTGCAAAAGATCTAACTCGCTGCCTCCAGCTATTTGTGTGGTGAGTCTATTCTTGCGGGCAGAGCCCAGTGACCTAGCACCTCCCCACTAGGCCCCACCCCCAGCTAATCACCAGCTGGTGTACTATAGCACACCCCAAAGTATGTCACCGACACACAGAAGCTCCAAACTAGTTTTCCTGTTCTACCTTAGCTGCCTATTATCATGATTGTGGCCTGGATTTTGTGCCAAAGCTTGATGATCACACCCTTCATTTCTATTTTCATACTTCTCCCTTTACCCTTGCCTTTTCGCATCTTAGACTCCTGTGTTTGTCATGTCCACATGAACTCTGAGCTAATACTTCACCTTCCCTCTAACCAGTGTGTTTATTTGCTTCAGCCTCCTGCCTTTCTTCTACACTTGCTTTCAATTTGATATCCTGGATCCATTCACCTTTTCTGCTTGGTACCTGTGATACAGGGATTAATACCAGAGATGAAATATGAAATATTATATCTCCCAACCTGTTAAATGTCCAATATGCAGAGCTCTGTTCTCTAAACATCAAAGAACAAATCCTAGGAACAACATGGGTTAAGAGTAGGAATGTATTTACTAATAGAACAGCTCCTGAGGGACACAAAGGGTCCCAAATGAGTAGCCCAAAGACCTCACTTTACAGAGGAATTTTATAGAGCAAAACCCACATGAGTACAACATGAGCCATAGCCATAATCAACCAATAGGGTTACAAGTAAAGTCACTTAGGTAGTAGTGGTTCAATTGGGAAACAAGACACATAACAAGTGTGGATGGAAAGGACAAGGATTCTCCTAGGAAATGGTGGGTCCGGAGGTCTCTGTCACCCACCGAGGTGACTAGTGTCTATCTAAACTTCATTAGGCCCAGTGTTTGTCCTTTGAGAAAGAACACAGATCTGGTCATCTTGTCCTTTTCTCGAGTCCCCGCCTCCAACAGATGTGACTCTGCCTACGGTTGTGATGTGTTTCACCTTTGTCCTAACTCTCTGGAGGACTTAGCCCTATCTGACAGCCTATACTATTTCTACCTGACTCAGCTGTCTATAATTCCCGGACCTAGTTGTGTTCCACCAAATTAATTGTTCATAAATAAAGTGAACAAGTGGATCCAGAAGTTTACAGGTTCAGGGCTGCTAGAAACTCTGTGTCCTCAATCCAGTATGTGGCCTGTCTGCTGCTCAAGGACATACAGCACAGGGTACAGGAGGGACAGTATTGTGTCAGAAGTTTGCAGGCAAGTTCCAGAAGGCAGACAGCATAGATGTTTAAGTCCACTGGACTTTTATACAGTTTCAGGAGCAGTTAATGAGACACAAAGCAGGCATCCTCCTGGATGCAGATAGCCCTGGTGTCAGGAATGCAAGCTGCTTCGTTTGCATTTTTCTTTGCCCAAGGTCTCTCCCATTTGTTTAGGGACCTGACTTTGTCCCTTGCAACCCATTAGATCATGATAGTTTGCTTAAGTTAAGTATTCCGGCCCTCTGGTGTGTTAAAAGTCACTTGATCCTAAACTTTTAGTTTACTTTGTTAACTATTCAAGGCCTGTGACCTAACTTCCCCTGTCTCTTTGCTTCATATTCACATCGCGAGTGCTGAAAGGGACAACAGCTATGTCTTCACCGTGTATGAGATGGAGTAGCCCTCAGTTTTACCAAGTAATTTTCAGGAATTTAACCAGGGTGGCAGAACATTGCAGTTCTGTCCCTCCAGGGATAAAGGCAAACTGTAGCAGACAGGCCATTGAAATTGGCGCTGAACAGATATTTTACCCAATCAATAAAAGCAAATTATCTGTTTCTAATTTATAAAATCAGTGATTTTAAAAACAATACTGAGTACTAGGTATGAAAGCCTTAAAAAAAAAAAAACTACGAGAGGTGCATGCTTGTTTATAGTTACAATGAAACCACTCTCTACTAACTTTACTTAAGTTCTAATTGAGAAATCAGAGCTTCAAATTAATAAATACATATGTATACCTATTAAAAAAGTTAGTATGTCTGTGGCACTTTATCTACCTCTTTATTCTGCAGAAACAAATAAAATGTATACTAATTTAAGAAACAATACATTCAAATCCAGCCTCGGAGGCAAGTGACGCAAGTGTAAGGTGAAAATGAGCACACCGGTCTGTGATATTTCTGCCACAGGCTTTTTCCAACACCTGTTGACCAGTCAAGGAGAGGAAACATTGGGAGATTAAGATATGCCAGTTCTGGATAAATTCCTTCCCAAAATAGCAAGAGCTGAGCAAATTGCTAGGCCAACAGAAGATGGAAGACAGGCTCAGGACTGTGTGGCAGAACAACTGTCTTCAATGGTTGGCATTTCCTTGGTGCTTAAATTCTTCTTCAGTCCAACAGCTGATTCCCCCCTTTGTCATAGCCTTTTCTTCTGTTTTCCCAGGGTGTGACAGCCACACCCTTCCACAGTGGGCTTCTTTGAGAAGCAGCTTCTGAAATGGTTATAGAGCTAGCTGTCCACTGTTGGCTGACAGTGGTCACTGTACTGGGAAGATGGTATTCCCTTAAGTTCATGCTTGACACATGAAAACGCAAACTTTAAGAGA